CCTCCTCCTCCTCCTCCTCCTCCTCCTCCTCCTCCTCCAGCTGGGCACCCACTGTCTCCTCCTCCGCCTCCGCCTCCACCTCCTCGATGGTCTCCGTGGTCCCCTGGCGGGAGTACAGCATGGTGCACTGCGTGGGCTCGCTGTGGGGACAGAGGAGGGCACGGGCCCTGGCTCAGCGTCTGCATGGCCCGGATTCTCTCCAGGTCGGCAGACACCGCCCCAGGACTCCCAAGTATGAACTTCTGGGCTTAGGGGACAGGAAATACCCCAAGGGACTGCACTGCATTTGCCCTGAGCCTTCAGGATTTTCATTCCTGAGCTGCAGGAACTGCAACCAGTGTCCTTGAAAGCAATGCCACCGCTGAAGCCCAGGGCAGGGAGCAAGCCCCTCTGTGCAGAGGCTCACAGCCGCGTCGGGACTCCCGGCAGAGCGAAGCCAGCCTCACGGAGAGCGCGTGGACGGACCTCACGGGGCCACTCTGCTCTCAACCCTGCTCCCAGGGTAAACGCTGCTGAACTAACTGAACAAACGCACGCTTCCGTCGCCCTGTGACTTTTTCACCTTGCTTCCCTACCTTGCCTTTTTCTTGTTGTTGTGCAGTGCCTGGGTGAATTCCCTGCACCCCTGGGCAGGCAGCCCTTTCTCTCCAAGCCCTGTGCCTTTCCCGGGGTGCCACCACTCCCCGCAGAGCCTCGTCCTCCGGCTGCTGGCTGCACCCCTGGCTCCCGTCGGCTTCAGCCTCTTTCTTCTACTGGTTTCTCTACCCTTCCCGTCACGCTGTGTGCTCTTTGTCTACATCCTTCCCCCTCACTTGTCCCTTGTTCTTCTAACATCCCCGCCAGCATGAGCAGGAGAGGTTGGAAATGGGAGTGGAGCGCCACGCCCTCGAACTCATGGCCGGCAGGAGGACGGCAGCAGTTAGCACCAGGGACCTGAAGTTGGGCGGCTGGAGAACACTTTTCCAGGCCCTAGATGTGCACTGTTCGTTGAACGGCATGTGTGAAGCCGGGTTCTGTGAACACTGGGAGTCTCAAGTGCCCAGGTCACATCCACCTCCCTCTCCACAGCCTGCATTGAGGAAGCCCAGAGGGAGGCCTGCTCCGTGTGGAGCCCCGGGGTTTGGCCCTAAGTGTGCAGGAAGCCAGGCCTGGCCAGGCTTTGCTGACTTACCTCAAGGGACAGGGGCTCTGGGGAAGCCACGGAAGCGAAGCCCGACCCCAGCCCCCTGGACCTTTGGAGCTAACTCCACCCTGGCGCAGCTTCCAGGATGGCTGGAAACCAGGAGCTCCGGCCTGCGCCCTACGCGCCTCGCTTGTGCTCCACGCGCTCTGGTCCAGGGGCCACTGCGGCACCGCACCCAGGAGGGAGGCATCTGCCTGGGGCTGGGCCACAGCAACAGCTGAGCCCTGCCCGCTGCTCCTGGCAACTCGGCAACTCACAGGGGAGTTGGGGTCAGATGCAGGTAACTGCATTTCTAAGTGATCAGTGTTTTACCATAGGGTTTAACGAGTAGACTGAGGCCCAGAATAAGTTTCTTTTTACAAACAAAACAAGTGATAGTCTACAAGGTGACACGGTCTACCGTATCAAACTAATTCTTTTCAAAAGCCAGTGGTAAAATATATGCTGACTTCTATGTTAGTTATGTACATGAACTATGCAGTATGCAGAGTTATGCTTTATCAAACAGTACTGTAAGGCACATTTTCACTTTTTAGCCCTCTGTATTTTTTGGTAAAATCCTGAAGAAGCATTTTCCCCTGTGAGGGCTGCCTTTAAAAGCTCTAAATCAAATGCGGGAAACAAACTTACATCTTTGAACATGGAAAGTGTGAAATCCTTAAAGGACCAAGTTTATGATAAGTATTTTTAAGTCATTTCTAACAGACAAAAACTGAGGAGCAGTTCAGGTTCTCAGAGAGCTGCCCTGGGACACCGTGTCTCCAAAAGTCAGCGGTGATGCTGTGGTTAGTCATGCACACTCTAAAATAAAGATGACAAACAAAACTACACACATCACAGAACTGATATCGGCAATGACACCCAGGAGGAGGTGACGAGGTACAGATCAAAGCATGCACGAGGTAAGCACCTGGACGCTAAGCTGCCACTGTCAGCGGATGAGGAGGACATGTCCATGCTGAGCATTTTACGGAGCCGAGGCCTCGAGCGCTCGCTCGTTTTGGGCACAGGGTCTGGTCCGTCTAAGTCATCAAGGGTGGACTGCCTCGAAAACAGCATGGTGGCTTCAGTGTAGCAGCTAGCGGCGCAAACAGTCACAGAGACACAGAATTAACACAGTGGCATGAAGTCACATGGATAACAGATCGACACCCGGCCATGCAGCAACCACACACAACGCCGCCAACACCACGACGGCCGCGCAGGGACAGGGAGGACCTGTTCAGCTGAACAGTGAAGCACAGGAAGACTGGAGCGTAAACGACACGTTGGCTGCGATAAACTGGCACACAGCCCTCTCTGAACGGGGCGGGGACACAGGCCAGCGGCAAGGCCCCGAGTCCTCTTGAGAAGCACAGTGCATACAACTTTGCAGTGGAGGTTTTCATAACTGAAGAAATATGTTTTCTTTAGAACTGCAATCCCAAGTCCTTCAAGAGCGTTTTTGAACCCAATTGCATAAGCAGAAATAACTGCTCATAGAATTTGCTTAATGTATTTCTTTTTTTTTACCACTGTCTTGAAAATGCCAGAGGGGAAGCTCAGGAACGACCCAACCAACTGACCTTCCACCCTCGTTCTGCATGATACTCGGCTAAGTCAAACCAGAGGCCTTGCACGTAGGAGAGATGCTGGTTCGATATGCAGCTGGATATCAACCAACATCAAAAAACAAAATGAAATGCTACACAGAAAATAAATAACAAGGGAATTCTAGCAATGCCAGGGTTTTTTGTCTGTTAATGTTTCATTTTTACCTAATGTTTGCTCCAGATCGTGGCCTGGGTCTCCACTCCTGGGCTCTAGCTCTCATCTGTGGTACCAACAGGGAGGGCAGGGCGGAGGCACACAGGGCCCCTCAGAGCACACGAGGACCGCCCGGGTGGCACCTTTCAAATGGTGACCACCCCTTTCAGACCTGGGTAAGTGTCTCAGGATGGACCTGCAGCAATTTCAGCTGATATGGCAGCTTCAGGAAGGTGGGTGCGGTCTGATTTCAGGAGTCGACCATTAAAAACCAAGTTTGCCACTTTACACCTCACTGGAAGGAAAGTGGGACTCTTCTATCACGGAAGATACTGACCCACCTTCGCCACTGCCTGCGGACAGTCAGGTGGGTAACCGGGATGTCACGGCAGGAGCTAGACGGGAGTGTGCGTCCCCCCCTGGGGAGGCCACTGGCCCTCTGGCAGCCCCGCGTGAAGGAAGAGGTGTGGCAAGGTCACTGGCCACTAAGCCTCAAGGGAGGAGAGCCAGGCAGACTGCAAACAAAAGGGGGAACGACTTCATTTAAACCTGGTGTACGGACAGACCTAGATTTACTGTAATAAGAACAAACTTAGATGGGCAGCTTTCAAATAAGATAGTCATTAAGTTCACCGGAAATAAAAATCAGCCACAGAATTAGTAATGACAGCCCTACGAAGCCTGTTAGGAGAAAACTAAGCTCCACTCTCAAAAGGGTAGCTACAGGCTGCTTTCTGGGGGAGAGTGTGAGGTGCTACAAGCAGCGCCACTGAATGCCAGGAATTAAAAACTTCTTCAACAGAAGGGCGCTGAGGAAATCAACGGTCTGACCCAAAACTCTGAAAGGTTCCTGTCCTAAGTGCTTCCTCTTCTCACAAAAACACACACTGGCTGAAACATCTGTGTGACTTTGGAATCGATAAATAAGCCACGATTATTCCCCAATGAAATGCAAAATGTAATCTCTTTTATTAACCCTGAAAGAGTTCTAAAAAATCAATACTTATTTTGGGAAGACGAGAAGGAACATACCTGTGCGGTTCTATGTGCACAAGAACTACATCCAAATCTATATATGCCTGAATACACGGTTTTAAAAATAAAACCAATGTAGCATGCATATTTTAAAATCTAAGTATTTACATATGTACATGTATGTTGGATGTCTCTCCATACCAACAAATACAGATCTGCGTCAATAGGTAATTACTGGGAGCAAAACATTGGACTAAATCCGAAATGCTCAGTAGAGTACTTCAGCAAGTTACAAACAGCACTTCCATTCCATTTTCCAGGTCCGGTTGGTTCCAGGCTGGATGGAGAGGCAGTGTCAGTGCCCCCAGGGGTCTGGACACACAGGGAGCACTGCCTGCCAGCAGACCTGAGTGGGTCCAGGAGCCTTGCTGCAAGGAGCCCTGGGTGTCTCTGGGACAGGGACCCTGGAGCTGGAGGCAGCAGCAGCGGAGACACCCAGCACACCACACACCACACCTCTGAGCTCTCCTGCTTGGTAGGTCACAGAGGAACCGGAACCGTGCACCTGTGGAGCTGGGCTGTTGGAGACTCCTAGCCCTGTGACCTTCAGATGTGTCTTAAACCCCTCTGTACCGAGCTCCATGGTTGAAGAGTAGGGGTGGCCATCACTCACTTCCACTCCGGGAAGGATCCTCAGGGATGCAGGCTGCCTGCGTCCTGTGCTCTGTGCCGGCCCTGGCTTAGCCACTACCAGCAGGGTCCCTGCACATCCTGGCGTGAAGGGAAGGGAGCTGGCAGGATCAGCTCTGAAATGTTTATTCTAAAATTCTGAAAGCAGTGATTCAGGACAGGAAAGACGCAACAGAGGTGGAAGTCCCTCGTAAAAGGACCCTCAGTGGAGCAGCCTTTTGGAAGGCAAGAGACTGGGGACAGGGAGGGGCCTTGTCCTTTACCTGGAGCCTGGGACTCTGTCCCGTGCCTGGAGAGCGTGCGGGTCCCCATAGCTCACTACTGACTTCCGCTTTCGCCTGCTTCATCTAGGGGGGGACACCCTGCAAGCGTCTGATTAACGTTCACCCATCCATTCATTTCTCATTGGCGGTGTCCACTTCATTCATCTTGGCCAGGAGTGACCCTGTGCTGAGAGAGGAGGTACCTGGAGATGCTGTCGTGGGAATCTAAGCTGTCCATCCTGTGGGCCGGTGGGGCCCCGGGCCTGGCTCCGGGCTGGTCCTCGATGGTATCCAGGCCGGACTCCTGGGAAAGGTTCATGATGTGGTTCTGGTAGTACATGTGGATGCTCTCACGCGTTGGGACATTGCCCTGTGAAGGGGACATGCCGAAGTTCTTATGGGGCACCTGCCTGGCCCCCAAGGCCCCTGCCTGCCAGCACAAGACCAGTACCAGGCTGGCCAGGCTGGGGACCGCAGTCTGCTCGGGGACCCACCCACCTCCTGCATGGCACAGTCATGAATGTCACCCAGCGTCACTAGGCAGTTCTAACAAGAAACTCATTCTCGAGTGCAGATAATTTTGCTGAATCATAGTAAGCATTCCAGAAATGGAATATTACTATTAAGTGCAATCTATATGTGACTATTGTGCATTTTGCTGCTCTACATATAGCTTAACTTCTCCCGAGAGAAGTTTTAGACTGAGCTGCAACCCTCACAGGAGACATCTAAGCTGTACACCTGTAAACTGTGGAGAGGAGGGGCAATGAATAAAGTGGCCATCTTACCAGGCCCTTGTGTGTGCATGCACGTGCATGCAAACGTGTGTGGTTAGTGTGTGACTACTTCATCCAACCTCTCACTCAGTCCCAGGCAGAATGTGGACGCCTAAATCTACAGTATGCAATCGGCTCGGGCTATGTGCATGAAGTGTGTGAAATAGAAATGAACTTCATGTTTAGACTTAGGCGATCTCCCCTAGGGCATCTCACTATGTATCTGAATATCTAAAAAAAAAAATTAGAGATCTGAAACATTTCTGGACCCAAGCATTTTGGATGACAGATATAAAACCTATATATGATCTTTGAAATCCCTTTCTGTTGCAGTACTGAGGACTGAAGCCAGGATCTTCCCACTGAGCCACCTCCTTCCCCCTTTATTTTGAGACAGGGTCTCACTAAGTGACTAAATTGCTAACTAACTTGAGATCCTCCTGCCTCGGCCTCCCAGAGTAGAGGATTTACAGGCGTGCACCACCATTTCTGCCCTGACTCTCTCAAATGTGGGAGGAGGTGCAAATTACACTGCAGGGCTACCTTCTTGATCTCTCGGGTCAGCATGCACCGCTCAATCCTCAGCACCGTGGAGATGTCGATGTGCTCCCTGGAGATGGAGTTGAGCCACGTGGTGAAGCTGTCCACGGTGGCCAGGAACAGCACCCAGGTGAACTTCACGATGTTGAATATCCGTTTGATGATGTTGTCTAGGAGGGAGGGACAGCGCCGTGTCAGAAGAAGGGGACACCGGATGTGGCTCCAGACCTGAGCAAGGCTTCCCCATGCCGGGCCTGCATCTGCCCTGCGTCCCTGTCGAGCAGAGGGGACTGAGCCTCAGCGTGACCTGGCTGGGGCTACCGAGGCGGTGGCAGAACTAAAACAAAATCCATGTCGGCTTCGTGAAGTCTGACCCAAAGGGTCAAAGGTGGTGTCTCTAGGTCCAAGAACCCGACAAACACTGGGCACCCCAGGCATGCCTTGAGGACCCGCCCACCTCCTGCGCGGTCTGCACCTGTGAGGGCGGCTACACTGGTTACTTGGAGGCGGTGGTGGGCCCGAGCGGGCCGAATCCACGGGCCTCGCAATTCGCAGGCAAACCGACTGCATTCAGTTACAGGCCATGCCTGTTATGGCCACAAGGACGGGCACAGTTCGCATCCACCCCCCTGGGTCCCAGAATTTATCATTTTTGTATTCTTAAGTAAGAACTGCTGGGGGAGAATGCTCTGCTTATACACTCAGACTTTGGTGCTTCTTGCTACGTTTGTGTTTCCAAACACCTAAAGCTAGTTCTCAGAGGGCTCAACACACAGAGTAAGCGTCTGCACGTCTGCCAGCTGTTTTCATTGGACCTACAAGACAGACTTCCACGCCCTCCAGCCAGCACAGCCTGGGATCCCTTCCTCCGGGCCCGGCTGTTTCTGGGGGGCTGGACAGCTGTCACACCGCAGCTCAACCCAGGCCCCCATCCTGTGCACAGCATTGGCAACACAGCCTGTGCCTCTCCAGGGCGCCCTGAGGTTTAAACAAGAGCCCCTTGATTGCTGAGAAAGGCCTGAGGAGGTCCCATAGCTGTGACCTCAGTTGAGGAATATTATATAGCTATAAAAATTCAGATCCTGTCATTTGCAACAAGATAGGTGAATGTAGAGGGCACTGTACTAAATGAAGTAAGCCTGAGTGCTCTCACTTGGGTGTGGACGCTGGGCTGCCGAACCCTTGGAAGCAGAGCGTGGGGCAGGCTCCAGGGCCGGGAGGCGGGCGGGCGGGAAGCTGGGCCAGGGGTCCGAGTGTGTGGCCTGGAGTGTGTCTTGTGTCTGGAGGTCTGCGTACAGCACAGGGACCAGAGGTGTTGCTCCTGTGCTGTGTACTGCAAATGTGACACAGAAGACTGTTGGTGCTCTCAGCACGCGCGGGCACACACACGCGCGGGCACACACACGCGCACTCACACAGAGACACGATGGCTGGGTTGGTTTCCTGGACGGTGGCTCCCTGTGCCTTGGCCCCAGACAACAGGGAGGACCTGGGCGGAAGAGGGAGGCTCCACACCGACCGTACCGACCGCCCTGTGCAGTCACAGTGGCCTCCAGCGTGATAGTCCCCACGTGCTCTGTGCGTGTGCGCCTCTCTGGGGCCTCAGACGGGCCCCGGGGGCTCCCTGTCCTCCCCACTGGAGTGCAGCGTGAACCCAAGTCCACTCTGAAGTGGAAAGGGCATTTTGCACTGGGCCTAGGGGCTACAGAGCTTCCTTAGGCACAGCCCCGCTGTCTTGGGAAGGAAGAGCAGGGTGGACGTTTGGCTGTGAGATCACAGCCTCTGCACAGGTCCCCAGGGCAGGGGACTGGCAGCCTGCAGAGAGAAGGAAGGGAGAGGGTATTGTGGGAAGCAGGAAGAGGGGAGAACAGGGCAGGAGTAGAAGACCAGGCCCCAGCCTGTGGGACTCCTCGGAGGAGCGGTGGCCAGAGGCACCGCAAGTGGGACTTTTCTCACTCCCTGCGCCCCCTGCACAGTGAGCATGAACAAAACGTGTTTCGCCCACACTGGCTGGGTCACAACCTTTAGCTGCTTTGTGTAGACAAGGAAGGGAAGTTTGCCTCAAGGCTCGGGTTACACCCTGATACATGTAAGCAGCCCCATTTTTGATGACTTTTTTCTCTGATTCATTCAGTTATTATGTGTCACTTCAAAAGAAAAAAATTAAAAGATTTTATAAAAAAGAAAAATTTATGGCCAGTATTGTTTGTGTCTTCACCCTGATAGTTTCTATGGAACATTAGAATTTGTCCCTCAGCTGCCCTTCCTCGGTTCCCGTCCACGGGACTTTGTAGACAGACTCGAAGCCCACGTCTCACCAGCTGGGCTCTGCCAGCTACATTTTAGGAGCTGCTTTGCAATTTCAGGGGAGATGGGATTTCAAGGGATGTGGAGTATTTTGCCCCAGCTGGGAAGCAGTCCTGGGCTTATTATTTTCCAGCCAGCTTTCCATTCTGCACTGTCCGGGAGCAGGTCATTTTCAGATTCCCGCACTGGGCTTGTCTGCTGTGTTACCTGGTCCATCAGATTTCTTTTTGACTGGCTCCTCCTCTCGGTCTTCCCAGTCCACCAGACCTGCAGGGGGTTTGATAAAGACGAGTCACATTCTGTGCAGGGCAATGAAATGCCAAGACTATTCTGGGTGGGAAGGAATTTATCACCCAGTCTGGGACATTCTGCCTATTCCAAGAGTTCCTGGGGAGAAGTTGTAATAATTCAGTGCTCATTTCTGTGCACTCTGGAATAAAGATTATGCCTACCAAGTAGGTGACTACAACCCTCAGCCAGATTCGGCCAGCTGGTTACTGTCGGAAGGCCTGAGTCCTGCAAGGCTTTCATCTGTTTAATAATTGAAAAAATATAAAGGAGAGTAGTCTTTTGTGCATGGAAAAATTGTATTAAGGTCAAAGTTTAATGGAACACAGGCAAGCCCATTTCCTTATGGGTCATCGGGGCCACTTTTGTCCCACAATGGGCTTCTATACTCCTTGTTTGTCCCTTCACAGAAAGAGGGCCACTTCCCAAGACATGCTATGAAATTTTAATTTTGAATACATTGGGGTGGTGTTATAAATTTTAGTTTGCCACTGTCTTAAGATGACATCAGAGGATTCCATTGGGTTCCTAACCCCCTTGTTTAAAGTTAAGATGGAAAGATCTAGTAAATAAAAATACAGATGTCCTGTCAAACTTCAACTTCAGATAAAAAAGGAATCTGTTTAGTGTAGGTATGTTCATTGCAGCAGACATCCTGCACAGTACTAGTGCTCTATAAGTGGCACATGCCTCTTGCTTTCCATAATTCAGCTATATTATTATCAGGAGTCAGACCGAAGCTCTATGTGACTCAAATAGGCGTGTCAGATGGCACACTGGGTGAGTATAGCCCCTCCCTCAATGTCTGCCACGGAAACCTAGGCCCTGGTCTATGAAGTGGCAGCGCTCTGCTGAGTTATGTGAAGCCGAGGGCTGCATGGCCCCAATAAAATCCTCTCCCCTGAATTACGGCTTCTCACTGACCTGATGGGTTGCTTGCTGATTGCACCTGGTCCCAGTACCGGTCTGTTCCATCCAAGCAAGATCAGCAGTGCCGACTCCCTGACAGCCCTGCCTGGCGCCGTCGTGCCAGGTGTTCAGCAGTGTCTCACTAGGTGCCTTCAAAGCACACCCTGCTCCCTATTCCTTCCCACAATTGCATTCAATAAACACTGGATGTGTTTGGGGGCCTTTGTCTTTGCTGCCATCAGCAGCACTGAGCAGGACCCAAGACTCAGCTTCTCCACTCTAAATATCGTTTCCTGTCTATTCTTTAATTTGCCTTGTGCTGTAGTGGCTCACAGGAGGGACCCACAGCAGAGGTTCCAGCAATGTCCCTTTCCCCTATAGTTCATAAATTATGTTCAGGTTGTACTTAAGCTAAACATTACCTGTTTTTCATTTAGAAAACTCAAATTTGCTGGGCTTCCTGTGTTTTATCTGGTAACCATAATGAACCCTGTTCGTGATCTGACCACAGGACATCTTTGCAAACTTAGCTCTGGGTAAATCTCAGTGTCCTCTCTTCCCTTCTGCCAGCGTTTCACACACTGTCTCTACCAGCTAAGCTGACTTGCTCTTTAGTGTCTGTGCACGCTTTGCTTTCACTTCCAGAATGCCAGTCTGTGCAGAAGCTACCATTGTGAGGAGACATCCTCTGATGCTCTTACATACAAGAGATTCTTTTTCCTTCTGGTCCCCAGTAGAGATTTTCCCCTACACCTGTCTTCTGGGCTGGTGAGGACATGGGGCTTCGAAGCCAAGACGCCTGCCAGGAATTGAAGACCAGCTAGTACCTGACTGGCCCTGGGAGCATGGCAGTCTCTTTTTTCTTTGGGCCGAGGTTCCTGTGTCTGCACAGCGGGGCCTGTGGGAAGGACCTCGTACGTTACTGAGCCCAAAGTGCTGACTAGAGCTCCAGCCATCCAAGGACAGACTGTGCAGCTCAGAGGAGAGGTGGAAGAAGTGCTGCCTTTCACCAGGGTGACGCTGCATGAGCATTTACTAAAGGAGGCGTGCATGTCCACTGCAGTGCTAGCATCACCACTGTGACTTGCAGGTAACTAACTGGTGGGACACCTTCCTCAGGTGACTCACTGACACACTCCTGGGACCCAGCAAAGATTCCGAGAGAAAAAATATCTAAGAGCAAATGCAATTTTAAATAAGGGACATCTGCCTTCCTAAACATCACAGCTAATTTCGTGGCTCTGGGGCTCAGGAGTACGTGGTGCCGGCCCAGAGCCCAAGAGTGGAGAGAGGATCAGAGAGATCCAGAGTGGACCCCAGGTGGAGGAGCTAACCCTGGTGGCAGTGGCAGTGGAATCTGAGCAACAAGGAAGCATCATCTAATAGAATGAAGTTACCTATCCATTTAGAAGCCTACAGATTACATCTGAATTCATATAATAAAAAATTTAAGACGTTCATACAATTAGCAGGAAATATAGGAAAACATTTGTTTAATATTTGGGGGAGAGGCTTTGTAAGCCAGAGGATGATTATAAAACTACAGTGAGAAATATGCATTTGATATAAAAATTTAAAAGTCCATTTAGATAACATATACCTTACACTAAATCCAAATAGAAACAATAGTACACCTAACATATAAAGAACCTCAATTAAGAAGAAAAGAACAAATAATAGAATGATATGACAAAAGGCAGAAGTGCTTAAATCTTAAAACTGGAAATACAAATTACATAGAAAATGTGAAATCAAATGCTCAGTCTCATTAGTTCGGAATTCAATAGAATTCAAATGGGAATAAAGGCCACCTGTCATCCCTCGGAGAGACAAATGCCCGAGAGAGCAGTAACAGCCTAGGTGTAGGAAGGAGAAGCCTCTTGTACCTGACATGAAGTAGCGTGAATTACTAAAACCTTTAGGAAAATATGTATTAAAATCAAAAGTAATCCCACTTTAGAGAATCCAGTCTGTGGAAAGCATGTGCCTTGTACCTTTAAGTACACAAACAGACACATGTCTCACTACCTAGGAAACTTTTGCAAGTGTCTGGTAGCACTGCTTACTGTGGCAAAAATCCGGAAGCAGACTTTCTGTCCATTAAGGATGAAATGAATGAATAAATTATGCATATCTGTATTGTGGGATCTTTTGCAGCTATTAAAAATGATATATAGTTTCATACATTTTTAATTGGAGAAATGTCCATGACATACTGTTAATGAAAGTACAAGAGTTACTTGTAAGCATGAACTCATTTTTGAAAAGCAAACAGTTAAGCTATATGCACTTGGAAAAGGGGACGGCACGTGGTTAGCGGTGTCCCTTCAAGGCTGGATGCGGAGGGCCTGGGGGGCAGGGCTTGATCTACGTCCCTACTCCAAGGCCTTCACCAGAGGAATTTGAACTCATCTGTCTCCTTACACAAATAAAAATCGAATTAAAGTGACCAAGAGATAGAAGGGGGAAGGAAGGTTGAAAAGAAGAGAGGTTTTTCAATTAAAATTACATTAGAAATGAAAATTTTCCTTTTATTTATTCCTGGAATTTCACAAGCAATCTATGGGTGTGTTTTCTTTGTAAAAAAGTCAAAAACTGTGGAAGACAGGCCTCAAGTTTCTTTTAATCAGACCACTTAATCTCCATTCTCCCAAGAAGTAACTACTGTGGTTAATATGCTAAGTATTCTTCCAGATCTTTCTTTTGCTTTTTTTTTTTTTTTTTTTTGGTACCAGGGATCGAACTCCAGTCCTTGCGCTTGAGCAGCAGGTGGTGAAACCACTGAGGTAAATCCCCGGCCCTCTTTCTTTTGCATTTAATCACTATCATATGCACCCATTAAAAATGCAAAATATATCAAGGGAACCTGGTCATCTTTGTTTCATTAATGGCTTCATTCCCTGCAGCCCCATTTTAAGTAGTGTTTTTCACTTAATAATCTGTCAGGAATTGCTCTCCATGTCAATTCAGAGCTACCCATATCGTTTTGAAGCTGCTGAATAGCATTCCACAGTACACCGGTAACATAATTCATTCATTATCCTGCTTATCCATTTAGGGGTTCCAAAGTCTTGTCATTAATAGAGATGTCTGGTGGGTATTCTTAGACATGTGGACGGGTGCACAGATGCGAAGATGGCTTCCGACGAGCCGCACACCTAGAGTGGGGTCTGCCGCACGACACGTACGTGTGAACAGGTGTGGACACAGGCCTCTCTACACGCCTCTCACGGTGCATGGAGGCACCTCGCTTCTTACCAGCTCTCAAGCAGCAATCAGGAAATGTTTAGGCTTTTGCCAACCCACTGGTAAACATTTTTAAAACTAGTACATCAAAATATTTAGTCTGTGCTTCTTGGATTACTAGTGAGACTGGACATTTTTGGACATGCTCATTTTCTGGTCTGTGAATTATTTCTCCTATCCTTGCAGTTGTTGGGTTGAACTTTCCTCTTGACTTTTAGGAGCTCCTGACACACTCAGAACACTAACCCTTAGTGGAAGGTTGGGTGAAAAGACCCTCAGCCACAGCAGGCGTGCTTTCCCACTGCCTGTGGTGATCCTGGCTGCCGCCTGGAGTACTCTGTCCCTTGGAAATGTGTTCAGGGCCCACCCACTGGCATGAGGCTGAATCCGGTAAGAGTTTGAGGCCAGGAGACAGAGGGAGGGTAGGCGGAGTGGGGTAGGGGCCCGAGTCAACAGAAGGCCGGGCCTGGGGAGACTGAGCCATGCCTCAGGAAGCTGGAGCCCAAAGGACGAAGGGCTCATCAAATCTGCTGACAACAGGAAGCGGAGCAACAGCAGCAACTGCATCCCTTCATCTTCACACACACACTACATTTGCAAACGGCAGCAGATGACACCGTCAGCGACAAACTGCCTCTTTTGCACAACCCAAAGTGAATGTAAGGGCCTGGCTTGGGCCTCCCCAGGGTCCTCCTTGGGAACCTGCCTTGGGCAGAGAGAGCTTTCTTTGTTCTTTCCAGTACAGCACACCTGCTTCACTCCCCACTGTGGTCCTGACGCTCACTTCTTCGATGTCCTCAGGACAAGAGCTGTGAGCAGAGAATTGGCTCCAGGCCTGTGCCATTTGTCATTCTGGACTCTTGAGTGCACTCTCCCTTTTTTCTGGATCAAATTGCCAAAGGTTCATCTTTCTCATTGATTTCTTTCCCCCACGACTAGCTTTTAGCTTAATGTTCAAAGGCTTTTTCTTGTACTCCTGTCTCATTACTCAATATTACCTTTTCCCCTTCTATTTTCTTTGGGTTAAAGTTGTTCCTCTCTTTTCTTTCCACTTTATAATATCTATCTTAATTTAAATTTCTGCATCAATACATTCCAAGTGCTGGCCGTTGAGTGATTAAGGGCAAACAGAACTCGGCTCTCCGTGGAATGTAAAACATCATCCCTGGATGTCTCTGTCCTTCCTGTCCTCCTGGTGTGCCCAGCTATGGGAGCGGAGACTCACCCTCCCCGGATCCTCTCCTCTTGCATTTCTGCTCTTCTCTTGCAGACTTTTTCTTCTCCGTGCGCCGCTGTCTGAGTGCCGTCTTAGGGTCAGTAATCCAGGCTTGATACACAAACTGAAGGAAGAAAGTGCAATTACTTTCTGGCTTTTTAATAATTTGCAGTGAAAAGAAGAGGGACCTATTCCAAGCTTTCTAAGTTCAGGAAATTTTTCTTTTTCTCCCAATACTCCCAAACCCACCCACCCTTCTTCACCTCCAGATGTTGGGCTGACTTGCGCTGTTTTCATTACCCCAAGGTTTAATGTGAAACAGATGCTGTGAGAATAGACTTCATTTGCTATCACAGACGACCCTGATGGGGACTTTGGGGAAATACAAACCCTTCCCCCAATTCCTGAATCCCACTGCCTCCGTAACCCTTGGTGTTTGATTATTTTGTTCTACTCCCAGCAGGAATAGCTGGAAGCCTCACCAAGGTGGTCAGAGTGGTTTCTCCCATCACAAATAGAATGAACCCCAACAAGACAGGACTTAATATTCACTTTGGGGAAGTAGTTTTGCACATTCGATACTCTCCTTTGTGAATAACAGCTATTACCAGCAACTTGAGAAAGGCTTTTGCAGGTGATTAGCATTTTGAGAGAAAGAATGGGGTGGTGTCAAGGATAGGTCGTTATTCCAGGAGTATGGAAGGGAAACCGTGCTGTTTTGGTTGCCTTTCGTCATTTGAGTTCAAGAGCTGAAAATAGTTGCATTAACATATTGTGACCAATAACCAGCAGACAGCAGTTCTGAACAGCCCACCCCCACGTCTCCAGAATCATGCGGAAAAAAGAAAAAGAGAAGCCGTGGAGAAACCTCAAAGCCAGGCAGGCATGCCCCATGCACCCCACACACCTGGGTCTCAGGGAAGCTGGCTTTTCCCTATGAAGGTAAAGTTAAATGGATGCTTTCTGGGGGCTCCTGGGACCCCAGATATTTTTATCTTATCCTACGTTATTTTCAGGTTTCTGGAATCTTTGAAGAACACAGCCTGAATGAACCACTGACCTTATGGTACCAGTGGGAAATTGAAGGGTCAGCTTTTCCACATGTGAAGTGGAAGGACCACAGGCACCAAAATCACTGTTCTCCTCACTGCAGAAATCTGAATTGTGTGGGCAGTGAAGACCAACGGAAAATCTGTATCATTTTTGGATAACACATTCAACAGGCAATAAATGTCAAATATGCCAAAAATATACTGAATAAAGTGAGAAAATGGACTGGAGGAGAGGAAGGCCCGTGTGCATGTTTGTGGCATGTTAATCAGGAATTCTACCGTCTCTAAGGTTAGCACCCCCAAAGCAAACTTCCTTCAGCACGGAGTGTGAGAGTGTCAGGTGCTAAGGGGCATACGTCAACATTTCCTGTCAAAAACTGTTACTGCAATGTCTTAGAGAGTGAAAGAATCCCGAAAATAGAAAAATAAGGAGGTAATTAGGGTCTGCGAACATCGCGGGTATGAACTGGAAGAGTTCTTTTGCTCTGGAGAAAAAGCGAACTCGGTGGGGAAGGAGGGAGCAGGAGCTGTTCACAGGGGAAGGCAGACCCTGCAGAGGGGGCGAGACGCTAGGACAAGTGGCCATACGGTCCCTGAGTGAGGACCCCTGCCTGCCCCTCACTGAGATTATGCAACAGCAGGGGAAGCAAGAGGAAGGAGGGGCTGGAACCTTCGGCAATTCTTTGCTTGTAGGTAAATCATCTTCACATTGAGGTTTGCAAACACAAATGTTGGAAGACTCAGGACGGGGGGGCCCTCCAGAACAGCCCCATTGTCCCCTGGTCACTCTTACTGTCACCAAGCGGATGAGCCCACCCGGGGGACTCAGGCATTTAGCACCACCTACCATGGTGGAAAAATACTCAGAAATGTACGTAGAAGACTTCGGGGTCTCCAAGTGGACACCGCTTTTGTGTGTCCCTGACTTTATCTCAACTTTGATTCAAATGAATTTACCTTCAACTTTATCATATATATTAGGGGGAAATGGGATTCATTTTCACTGAACTCTTACTATGAAAACATGCATGTATTTTTTAAAAACAGGGAGAGCTCTGCCGAAGTGGAGCTCTTGCACTGAAATGGGGAAGGTTGACAATCTGTGCTTTATTTCAAGCGTGATCCACCACCTTCTTTGTGCCATGTGTTTAGCAGAAAAATGGGACCGATGCATTGTAGTTTTTCACTTAAATACAATTTAGCATATGAACTGGGTCCTGTGGTAGCCACAAAAGAGAAAGCAGCATAGTGACTCTTAGCTAACAGAGAGCTTCCTGGTGTTTTATAAACGGAAGGACCTTGCAGGTCTGCGCTCGGCTACTTGGGGTGGAGCTGGGGGCTTGTGAAACTGAGGGTCCATGGGCTGCGTGTCAGAGCCTGCGTTTCAGTAAGATGTGGGGACAATGTGAGACACCCTGGTCTCTGCCACTGTCTCCACCATTTGCTTAAGGCTAGAGGAGCACAGAGACCCCGCGCTTCAGTACCTGTGCCTATCCCTGGCTAGCTTTGGGAGAAAGGGCTTCCATACAGTACAAGGACTTTCATTTGTCATCTGTGGTGTTCAGTAATGATGGGAATACAGCGAGGCAGCTGAGTAACTTCTTGTGCGCATGCGATGAACGGACTGGGAACCATCCAACAGTGTATTCAATGACACCATCACAGAGCCCATGGGGCAGGAGCTGAGGAGCCACAGTGAGCCCAGAAACAGGACGGTCAGGTGCAATTTAGGGAGAGCGAGACGAAAGGGGAACCAACAGGGGATGGAGCCAAAGGAGCCTTTTGGGAGCTCACCCAGAATTTCACCAGCTTTCTGAGAAGAGTTACCACGTGTTTCTCTCATCATAACTGAGCATGCAGCAGATATGACCCCTTTGAAATGAGATGTCACCGAAACGCAGCTATGAGGAGACAGAGAGTAAGTACATGTCTGCATTTTCCCTTTCTATTCTCTATTGTCTCTGGTGTCAGCTTAAAAACAAGAAGCAAATAATAAGCAGTCTGGCATCTAAGAACTTGTTTTGGAAAATTTTTCTTAAGATTTTGCATCCTTTTAGCTCCTCCATGGCAGGATGTATAGAACAGAGAAAATGCAGATATGCGGATGTATTTGTCTAAAGTTCTACGGAGCAAAGTCACACACTACACGTCAGGAAAACATGAAATACCTTGGCAGCTCTGATTAAGTACTGGAGAATAGTTTTGGGAAGTTTAATGACAGACTTTGGCAAGGCTAAAATGGCTGATGCAAACTTCCCAATAGCTCTCTACAAAGAAGGACAAAGCAAGAATAATTAGTAGGGAACACTAATCACTTCGTACAGGACGTCATGTGAGTTTGTACATCAACACCAACTCAGTTAACGTGCAAGCATTGAAGCTAGAAAGATGTGGTGCACCTGTGAGGAATGAGGACATCAGTCGTTGCCTGTCACCCACCAGAGAGAAGGTACCACCTAAGAGGGGGCTTAGAATCAAACTCGTGAGAAGAAAATCAAGTCATTAGTACTCGGCAGGCCAGCTGCAGCATGCACACAGACACCATCACCAAGACACACAGGGAGGAAGGGAGGCAGCAGCAGACCAAGGTGTCTCCACATCGTCGGGAAGACAAGGGTGTCTTCAGCCTGCCAGCTGGAGAAGACCTGGCCAGCAGTGTGGCCGTGACCTTACGACGGGCACATCATGTGGCTGGTGGGTACGCCCTATGTGCCTTGTGTGACAAACCAGAAGCAACCATCCCCACAGGTAGTCACCAGGAAAGGAAGCAGACACCAAGCTGTCGTCCCAGGTACCATCAGGGGCAAAAGCTCATCTGAAAGGAGCAGGACACCCCCTGGCCCAGCCCCCGGTATGGACAATGAGATGCAGGTTCTGGAACAGGAAGGTAGCAAAGCTGAAAAGATCAGAACTCGGCCAGATGTCATTATTATGATTCCAATACATTCTCAAGTCTTGAGCAGGGCAAAGGAAACTGATTTCTAAAACCTGCAGCAATAGTTAAACAATCTTTTGTTTCAAAGCAGAGCAAGTAGAGTATTTTCATAGTCAGTGGTTCCACACCCCAACCCCTAAGTTCATTCAAGCAGCCCAAAGCAATGCCAAAGAAGTCTTTTTCATCTCTTACTTGCAACAAAACTAAAGTTCACCCAATGAAGCTTTATTTTTTTAAAGCATCAGCGAACATTTTGATGCAAGGGAGTGAAGACCTGATCCAGAAACAGTGCCAGGCTGTGGCTGTGGTGGAGCCCGGCCCCAGGGCCTCCACAGTTTCTCAAGACCCCCCAGTGTGGCGACACAGGCAGGGCTGCATCCAACATCTGTCCACGGGAAAGCTCCTCAGCTAGCTCTTGACAGAACCCTTGTGGCTCCTGCTTACCTGGAATGCTGACTTTCTTGGGAGCTCCTCGTCCTCCTTCTTCAGTTCTTCCTCTTCCTCTTCTTCACTATCCGTTTCAAACAAATAATAATCTCCACTCCTGACCACTAAGCAAAACAAAATATTTGCTTATTTTTCGAAAGGGAGATGAAATAATTGGGGAATCTTCATGAAATTCCCCGTACAGATATACAAACAGACCAGAAAAGCACCGCGACAAGAAACGTGAGCAGGGAGGAAAACAGGAGACGAAGAGAACCCATCTGGGCCTGCACTATGCAGGGCGGCACGGCCGGGTCCACAGAGGACAAGGCCTGTCCCACGGCGCTGCACGGCCGACCTGCTGTCCGCGCCCTTCTTTGTTGCAAATTAGCTCGGCTGAGTCAGATCAGTTCTGCAGCAGCCAGTTTTGTGGCCAACACGGCCCACGTGTTGAGAACTACCGTTCCACAATCAGTCAACAGTGCCTGTTAGACAAGGCCAGAGTGCAGTGGAGGAGCTGGCGTCCTCTGCGATGGAGAAGCCAATTGGAACGATTGGGAACCAAGGTTGGTGCCACCAGCCCTCCACTTCACTCGATACTATGCAGACCTGGCTTCTCCACACAGGACACCAGACAACACACAGAGGACAAGACATCCGAAGAGTGAACAAAAAGGAAAAGTCACACACACATTGTCACGGGAGGAAACATGTAGGTAACACCGAAGACAAAACGAAACATAACAACACTGCGAGGACCACCGCTCTGTCTGCTTCTGCTCGTGCCAAGGCAGAGGGGAATGCAGACGGGGTCTGCACGGCTCAGCACTGCCAGGCTTCTGGGCAGCGCGGCCCTCCCGGGGCTCAACAGGATGCAGAGCAGACTCTGCTGGCCTGGACACAGCACACAGAGCGTGGGTGCCATGGCCTGCCCGACCCTTGCCCTGTGGGAACACGCCTGTATCAAGAGGCAATGGAAATGTCCAGAGGTGGAAGGAAACTTAACGAGATTCAGTCTTGATCAGCCTAGAGAGCATTTTAAGTTTATCGGAGAAAAGAGACCCAGCACATACATTTCTGATGCTACAAGGACTGTATCATCGTTTGGGAAAACATATCTGCATTCCCAGTTCCACTTGGGTTAGCAGATGCCAAGGCATCTTTGGGGTGACCTCATGTGACATCTCACGAGGTCTTTGGGCTCAGACATCGCAAGGTAATGAGGTAATGGAAACCCTTGGCTTGTTGAAAGTTAGTTGTCTGCATATCGCTAAACACAGTCAAAAGCCAAGTAATTTTGCCTGCAATTTCACACGAGTCTGAAGCCTCCTTTCTTGAGGACGCAGAGTGGATGAATTGGGCCTTATATCCTTGAACAGAGAAGCACTGTAGTTTGATATTTTTACTTTGGAGAAAAAAATAGACCCGGAGTGCCAGGTCCATGTCTGAGGAAATAAACGCAACACAACATAAGGTAAGAATAACCAAGAACAAACCAAAGTTACAGCGTTAAGCTGAATAGTGAGGAGGACAGTGAAGGCAACGCCCACACAGAAGCCCAGAGACTGGCAGGGAAGTCTGGGGACTCTATGTCATGTGGTCATTTAGGAAAAACACAGGGTACTGTAAATGAAGCATTTTACCCTCATTATAGGCACTAAACTCAACAACAGCTAACGCTGTGTTCAATCATACCTTCTGTAACATTTATCCATATGAACGAGCCCAAGGGGCTTTTCATCGAAAGCATTTACAGTGTGGATTTTATCACAAGAAACGACTCTAATTTGTTATGTGCAAATTGGCACATTAATAAAAGAAGGTAATATTTAAAAAAGCTTCTTATTATTTATAAAGTATTACTGAAACACAGAGAAATAACAGTGCTGTCTGCCGATAACAAGTAGAAGAGCTCTTCTGGGAGCATGTGCCTCCTGCCCCTGTGGACACACACAGCATGGTGCTGAGGGTGGTGCTGAGCTCCTGGGTGTGGAATTAACTTTTGCGCCCCACCACGGGCATCCTCAGACTCTTGGCCCATTACTGCAGACATTTATCAGCAGAACAAGGCTCAGTATTGATGCAGGCAGCACTGCGTCAGGAGGGAGATGTCTGCTTTGCGAGGAAGGCATCATTGAACAGCAATAATGCAAGCCCGTGTGTGCACACAGGTGTGGAAGAAGGAGACGTGGCCCCCATGACCACGCCGGGGTCTCGGCTGCCCACCAGGGACATCGATAACACGGCAGCTTCCATAGGTCATTGACAGATTTACACTTGGATATTAGAACTCGTATCTCTAAGGAATCTCTCTTTGAAAGTCCAATTACTCAACAGGACAGAAGAAGGGCTTTGAATAAAATTCTTCCAGATCTAAAGATAAGTTTTGGAGCTCATCAAAGACTAAAAAGTAAACTAGACCTTCTTTTCCTTTTGTTCCTCTCAAGCTTGTATGAGAAAGTATGCTTTGTAGAAAAATTTAACATTATAGTCAAAATAGGATTCCAAACTGTGAATCACACACATCCCTGCATTATTGCCCCACAAGGTATTGTGACAAGGCACATTTAGGGTAACACCAGTCACCAAGAAATTGGTATAATGAGGGTGAAATGAACGTGAACAATCTAACCCCAGTAACCTTCACAGGAAGTTCTTCAGATCATCACCACTGGTAAGATGATTATCAAAGACCATATCCAATGCCTTGGAAAACGCAATGCTTAGACAGAAAGGAGAGGCACCACGGTGATCACAGTGGGACTCCCCCCGAGCGGAAGGGACAGGACATTCAGAATGACAAGGTTCCGAAGTGGGCAGGTCTCTCTGAGCTAGCAGAGGCCCTTAAGAAAAGAAAGGTAGGCACAGTTTACTTGTGACTTGATAGAAACAGCCCCCAGCACTCCGCCGTGTCAGACTATCAGCCGGACAAACCTGTCCACCATAGACAGCCAGCCAGCCAGCCACTGGGCTCCCACTCTGACTTGGGCAGAATCAACTAGGACTCTCTATACCTCACTGCTAAAATTCAACTCTGAGGGTCAAATGTAATTATTTCCAGAAACAGCAAATTTCAAAGATGGTCTCATTAAACTAGCTTGCCAATTTTTAGAAAATGATTTCTGGGTGTGAGAGGCCAATACCAAATGTGCATGGCACAAGAATCGGGTGTAAGACAGAATACAGGTTTACTTGATTTTCTACTGATTTGGAAACTGCTCCTAGGAGAGGCCCTCCTGGCGCTGTGTGATGTACACACTTTGGCGACTCCTCACCCGCTTAGATTCGCCACAGCGTTGGGCATCAGTCAGAAGGGACTGAAGACACCAAGTGAGCCACTGTGAAGCAGCAGTTCTTCAGTCTCCCAACACACCGAAGAGGGCCAGGTTGAAACTAGCCACTTCATGTAAAGCCACTGGCCAAGAGGGATAACCTCTTTGTCAGCACGACAAAAATGGCCAGTGTTTCGACAATTTCTCACTCATGCTTTTAGGATCTGGGCAGAAGCACACCACATTCCAGGTGGCCAGCAAGCCCACTCTCTGGTTTTTACATCTACTGGTCACTGCTCAGCATATGCTGGGCACAGGTATTTGGAGTGCGGTTTTAGAGTCATCTGGATGGGACAGGAGGTAGCCGAGGAGGTAAGTGGATTTAAAGATAACCTTCCTCCTTATACTTCACATATTGCCAAAAAACCCTCAAGTGCAAATAAAATCAAAGCTCTGGGAATGAGGTCAGTGCCTCATAGAGGGTCACAGAGGCTTGGACATAACGGCCATCCTTGAATTAGATTCCAGGAGCCTAGAGTCATTTTGATAAGGGGTTTTAACCATACAAGCAGAACCAGCAAGCCCTGGACCTCAGCGTTGGGTCATTCAGAATCAACTCTTCTGGGCTTTGTGAGGTACGTCTGTCGGCCACGGATCGGCCTCTGTAGCCAGCGTAGTGAGCAGCAGCTTCCAGCAGGAGCTGAGCCCAGGGCCAGGGGCCCCAGGCACGGGAGTTTTCCCACACATCAACCCCTATCAAGTCACAAGGGTCAAACCGTGCATGGGACACAGGTCACAGGGAGCCTGATTCTGGTCAAGGATATAAGGGTTAGCTGGTGAGATCAGGGAGGGTCGGGAGAACCTACTGGAAGCATGATCGACCCAAGGCCGCCACCACTGCTTTGTTTTGCCCTTGGCTTTCTGTTTGTCTGCTTCTCCTAAAATGAAATATGTCCAAATATTAATTCTCATAAAATGAGCAAACACGTTCTGAACACACGCTTTAACGGCTCAATCGCCAAATCTAGGTAAATTGCAAAAGTCTCTCAGAGGTCAGGAGAAAGAATTCTAGGAAATCTGAAAGCATATAGTTCTAACAGCTGGCTCACAGGATAAACACAGGCCATTCTTTAGCAGTAAGCTACATTTCCACTTTCTTCCTAGGAGCTGAGGGCATACAAAGAAATATAAGAAAGGGTCCTCAAAATGCACCTCACGTGGAAGTTTCCATTAAATTAACAGAAAGGCCTAGTCAAATTTAATAGAAACATTTAGTGGCAAATAATTTGTAAAATACATAAATTACAATAACCAAAAATTTTTCTTCTGATTACTTTAATGAGTGGTTGAAAAATAACTTCGCTGATGATGAAAAGCTAATATGTACTGGAAAATTATCATGTGATATTTCTCTACTCCCTTCAAACAGAAAAGCATGCACACTTCTATAAAAAGGCCTTTAAAATTTCAACTGGATATAATAAAATCTGTAATGAGAAACAACACTGAATTTGCATTAAATTTTACACTAAATGTCACTGGAACAGGCAATAACTGCTATTTTAACTACCAGTATTCAAGTGCCACATAAAATAATGCACGAATATTTAATTTTCATATAAAATTGATAGACATCAAAGGTGGCATATTGGAAATATCGCCCCTAAAAGAACAGAGTAAGCAAAATCATGCCAATTTTCTTCATAAGCAGATGTCTACGAGGCAAGCTAGGCTGTGTGCTCCTCAGAGGCATCTAAAGAGCAGATACTTACAAATCCACTCCCTCATCAGATATGTACTTTATGAAACAAATTCATCTCATTCAAAATGGAAAAGTTCAACTGCCTGAGTTAAAAAATATACACTGATGATACTGGCAGAATGAGAAGTAACGTTATTCTACAGCCCTACCTAACACCATGCTATCATTCAATGTCAAGGTTCTTGAACAGGAAGAAAATGTCTTGACATACTTTCGTCGTCTTCTTCGGAGAGTTTCTGGGTGTCCTGGCCTTCCCCTGACTCCTGGGTCAAGCTTAGCATCCTCTCCTTACCCTTTTTGTACTTCTGCTGCCTGGCCTTGATGCGATCCATCCTGCAACACAAAGCAGCAAGAGTAACCCCAGGAGCGCACGCGAGCCTTCTCCTGTCGGTGTTACCTTTATGTGTGCAAAGCCGTCCACTTACTTCAAAGCACTTAAGAACTGTGGAACGGCTGTTTGCTAGCCACACATCTCCTTGCTTTACACACCTTACTCCGCAGGCAGTCATAGAGGCCAGAGCAGCCGCGGGATCTGCAGCCACACAGCTGAGGACTGGTGCACAGTCCCTGGGGCACAGCCTGAGCACAGAGTGCTGGAGAACACAGTCCTGTGTCTCCTGAGGTTTGCACTCTTACACAAATGGAAACTCAGCAATATGAGTTATGATCCAGCCTCACAAGAGAAATGAGAAGCTCCTCATTCTAATGTGGGTCCGAATTTGCCATTCCTGTGGACCTGATTTAGACAGCTCCCTAGAAATAACAACAGTTGTGTCACACCACCTTTGCATTATATTTTTTATATATAACTTATGTCTTGGTGAAAATAACCATGCCAAGGCATTGCCTAATGTATGACAGGAAATGTTTCTGCTTGGAGGGAGAAAGTCGGTAAAGGAGGTCGAGGTAAAGTTTTCTTCCAAACTCAGGGAACCTTTCTGGCGGCTTCATGGAGCAACACCACTTTCTTGGGGAAATCTTCCAACTTTCAGTCCTATGACCATCAGCTTTTAAACCCGATCCTCAGACACAGAAGTGCCACAAGTCCTCAGCAATCCCGTTCTCTCTAAGAGAATCTCTCCCGTGGAATGCGGGACTCTCCTGAGTGGAGTCACTGTCCCTCGGCCAGTGCAGACTGGCACAGCGGGCAGCGCTCTGCCACATACACAGGGCAGAGGCCAGGCCATTGTGCTCCAGGCCTCTACCATGGAGGGGCGCTGCTTCTCCCTGGAGACTGGACTATGTTAAATCAAAGGACGCTTCCAAGTCACCTCTTTAACCCATGGGTGGGCCTGTGACCACTGGCTCCCAGTGCTTGGACTTGGGGACACTGTCCTATTCTTAGCTGGCTTCATCTTAACAAAAATCCTGAGGTAGGCATGCAAGGCCTAATTTCAGAGCATTTGGCTGTGTGGATGGCCCCTTCCCATGCCCTGGAGCAGCCTTGTTAAGCTGCTTTCAAGTTCAGGGTGGGGCCTGGAGGTGGCTCCAACCCCAGAGCTAATGGGGGTGCTGTGAGCATTGACACCATGGGCTTTTCAGGGACTGGGGCTCCCTGCCAGTGGAGAGGCCCCCATTGGTGCCTAGAAGTCAGAACAGGAAGGAGGGCGAGTGAGAACACAGGGTCCTTACTGTCTCTTCAGCTGGTCCATGGACTTTTTCTCCTCCTCTATTCTTGCTTTCACGGCTTTCACGATGGTGGCCTGGAAGAGTTCAGCCCCTCTACGGGAAAAGCAGAAGCACAGAACAGATTCGGGTCCCAGTCACCCTCGCCTTCTGGAAGTGATGGCGAGTCAGGACACAGGGCAGCCCAGGCATGGGTCCTGACTGGGAGATGTCGGCCCTCCGGAGCCCCTTCCTGTGCGTGCCTGGGAATGCTGCCCACGCCAGGGCGGGGACACGCCGGGCCACGAGTCTCCTCCGATGTGTCCCTCAGAATGTCCCACTGAAACGTCCCACTGGGGGCCATTCCCCTGACCTCGCCAGACTGTGGAACCAACCGGGAGGACTGAGCTATTCCTCAGCACACGGGAGAGAGGGCGCCTGCAGCCTGGCTCCTTGGTGGGCCCGGGGACTGGGGGCAGAGGCCCGCTTTGTCTCAGGACTCCCCAGCTCTCCTCTCTCTGGCTCCCTCCCGGGAGCTCCCACGCCTCCTGTCCCTCTCGCTTCTCAACCAGCCGGAAGCGTCCGCACGGGCTCCTTAGCTCTCTCACAGCCCCGATGCTGCCCTGGCTGTGGCCAGCAAACCCCACAGCCCCGGGCCCCGCGGAGGGTCATCCTTACAGGAGGGGTCTCCCGGGCCCGTCCTGGGACCCCTCCACTTCCCCATGGCGCGGCTGCGTGAGCCGCCCTATCCTCCTGTCACAGACTCTGCTGGGGGAGCGGGCGGCCGGCTGCTCAGTCCTTGCAAGGCTGAACAGGCTCCGGACGGTGCCAGGAGGCCATGTCCCTGGCTTCTCGCTCTCAGGCCCACGCCCTTCTCCAGGGGACAGCAGCTGGGGCCGTCCTCCCGGGGATCTCCTGGGCCCTGCCCGGCTGCAGCCTGGGCCCCACCCTGTTTGCCACTCTTCCTCTGCCTTTCCGGGGCACCCCGGGCTCCCGGCTCTCTCCCCTGCTCACTCGGTGGCCTCGGAAGGCGAGGCTGCCTTGCTTCCCGCTCCCTGCGACCTCACGGCCTGGCCCTGGAGGCCTCCTCCCTCACACTTGCTGTTGGCTGTAAGTGGGTCCCTGAGATCCACAGGTCAAAAACCTCATGCCTAAGGCAGTGGGGTCCAGCTCAGGGCTGGAGTGGGGTGGTTAAGGCACGGGCAGAGGAGCACCCCAATAAAAATGGCCCAGGACACTGGGTGTGCTGGCATAAACCTGTGATCCCAAGCAGTCTGGGAGGCGGAGGCAGGATTGCAAGTTTGAGTCCAGCTTGGGTAACTTAATGACTTAGCAAAACCCTGTCTCAAAATAAAAAGTAGGAAAGAGGTGAGAATGTAACTCAGTGCAAAGGCCTTGTGTTCCATCTGAAAAGAGAAGAAAACACAAACGATGGCCTAAGAGGTCTCTGGCTCTTTCCAGCATGAGAGGGCTCAGGGAGAAGGGGCCGCCCATGTGGAGCAGCCTATGGGCCGGGCAGCCTGCAAGCCCCGTGACCAAGACGCAGACAGCGCTGGAGGAACGAGAGCCGGGGCCCTCGGGAGCTCCGTGGCTCGGCGCTGTGGGAGACGACAGGGCTGCTCTCTGACAAGCCGGGGACAAAGCAGCCGCTCCTACCGAGACACGAAGGACACGCTTTCTGAACAGTCCCAGCGCTCTGGGGAAGAGCCTGGCTTCCTCAGATGTCTGAGATCTCTAGGGGCCAACGTTTTGGAGGGCGGTAAGAAAAGAGATGCCTTTGCCTGCCAAGTACCAGCTGCGCGTGTAAATAAGTAAGGCTGGTCCTGGCCTGAGACATGGAACTTGTTCTGAAAATGATGACCTGGCCACTAGGAAACCACTACAGAGGTGAGCAGCAGGACGGACACTGCACGTGACAGAAGTCACTGTTCACCCGCCACAGGCCCCCATGAGGTGCCCTCCCCCTGCGGCCAAAGGTAGTGACAAGAGCCAAGGTGGCCCTGAAACAGTGGGCTCCTGGCATAGCTCTCCAGGGGGGAAGAACAGGGCGCCGGCAGCAGTGACCACCTGACCCCTGCCTGCCCTGCCCACCCCCTTCTTCCTTTCCGTGCTGCTGTTGAACCCAGGGCCCCGGGCAAGTTACGCTCACCCCATAACCCGGAGCTGCAGCCCCACTGCCCTGCGGTGTGTTTTCCTTTGAGAGAAGTTGCTCCAATTATTTGCCCCTTTAGAAATGGGACTGCTTCCTCCTTGTTAAGTTTCTGGGGTGCCTTAGAACGAGGGGGACACACACACTGCTTCTCTACGTCAGACCTGGGAACCGTCAGGACGTTTCTCCCCCATCAGGACGTTCTTCCTAAGACAGGGTGGGAGTGGGGATGGGCTGGACCAGCCCTCATGGCCAAGTCACAGAGGAGCTGCTTCTGGGGCACCCTGTGCCACCTGCCACCTGCCAGGGTGACCCACGTCCTGACAGCGCCACCCCGCCCAGACTGCAGCACTGCACAGGCCTGGCGCTGGCTCCTCTGCCCTGGTCCTCCCAGAGGGAGGGATTTCTTAATCCTCTACTCCCCCTGGGGCGAGCTCGGCCGCTGTTTCTCCCAGGGGAGCTCCCGACAGAACCCTGGCCTCCTTGCCTGACCCACCTGGACGCCAGGATCTGGGACGCTTTTATGTCAGCCACGACGTGCAGGAAGTAGTAGCTCATGAACACCCTTCGCTGCAGTAGGAGGAAGGCAAAGCAGATGCTGTCCCAGATGATGCCCGCCTCCCCGCTGGGCAGCTTGCAGGACGCGTCGTCGGAAGCTGTGGGGCGGGTGGGGTGGGAGTGGGGACACTAAAGTGAGCATCCTTTCCCAGGCTGTTTTAGGACATCTGTGGCGAGGGCCGGTGGCCCAGCAGGATTCTGGTGCACTCGCCACCCAAGCGCTGATTTGCTTACAAGCCGTGTCCTGCACCAACACGGGTTCCTGGGGCTGACGGCCACACAGTAGGCTTGCTACATGGAGGCCCTGAGCAGCCTCCTCTCTGAGGGGACCCACAAAGGGCCATGTGACAGAGGACAGGCTCCAATCCTGAAGGGCACACCCACAGAGGATGAAGTCCCCCCAGGGTGGCCGGGGACTGGGGACACAGAGTCTGCCCAGGAAGCACAGGAAGCGTGGTGCTAAGTGGGGCCTGGGTTAGAAGCACAGTGGGGACAGCACTGTGTCCACAGAGAGCAAGCATGGCTCCATCCTGGGCTCTGACCCTTCTTCGTGAGTGAGCTCCTGGGATTTCCACTCGTCTCCAGAGCTTGTGCAGAGGGAAGGGTCCTTGAGGGCCCTGGATTCTGATGGGGGCTCTGAGCGGCTCCAACTCACAGGGCGTGGAGTGACTACAGCACCACTCCAGCCCTAGGCCCCTAGGATGGAAGGTTCTAGAAATGATCAGGAGAAGGGTCTTCTCCTGTCATGGACGAGGCATCCTCGGTGCACTGTAGCTCCGCCGCCTCCGTAAAGGGACAGCCTTGGTCTCCATTCTGACCTCTCCTCGTTATTGCTGCAGCCCAGCTTTACCAAGAATAGCACAGCCGTCTTCCCTGGCTGCCAGTCCACCCTGAAGACGCCTCTCCTACTTACGCATTGTGTAGCCTTTGACGGTGCAGGCCAGGCTGAAGGCTTGGATCAACCAGCAGCTGTTCTTCACCAGCGTCCCAATGTATCCACAGGCGCCGATCTGGAAAACAAACAGGAGGCAGGTTCAGGAACCCCAAACCAGAGCACAGTGTGGGGTGAGAGCCCCAATGTGCAGGGTCACAGGCAGGGTGCAGGGACCCACATGCACGTCACCGCATGGTCGTGCCAGCTGTGTTGGGGATAACATGAGGGCCGGGAAGTGGGGCCCAAGGAGGAGAGGGAAGGCCTCAGTGTAGCCATGTACTCAGGAGACCTCAGTTCTTAAGAGGAAATCACAGCACCACGTAGGACAAAGGCCCTGCTCTGTGACGGGCATGCTGCAAGCTGGGATTTGGTTGAATTCCTTCCTCACAGGCCAAAGGAAAGCTGTCTTGTTCCCAGGAGACCATTCAGGACCAGCTGCAGGGCACAGCTCCAAGGACAGCAGCCAAGAGTGCAGCCCCTCCACCGTCCACCCGCGGAGTCTGCATCCTCAGAATCAATGGGCCTCAGACCTCAGAAACTGCATCTGTACTGAACAGGCATGGACCTTCTCCTGTCATTATTCCCTAAACAGCGTTGTACCATGCATTACACGGCATTCACGCTGTGCCAGGCACGGAAGTGGTCTGGATACGTGGGTGGGCTGCGTGCAAACACCACACCATTGTGTACATGGAGTTGAGCATCAGAGGGTCTGGGGTTCCTAGGGGCCCTGACACCCACCGCCGGGGATCCCAGAGAGACTGGGTGTTCTGAGAATCGCTGAGCTAATTCTCTGTGTAAGGAAACCTGTCCCACTGCCTGGCTCATGGCTTTCCCACAGCAATGAATTCCCCATTCTACTTATGTAAGTTCAGATCCCGGGGTTCCCAGGCCACGCGAGCCCATGTCGGCAGGCACAGAAAGGGGCCGGCCGCTCTGTGTCTGGGGCGCAGGCGAGGAGGCCAACATTAGGGTCTGCTCCCAAAGCAGCGGATTCTCAGCATGGGCCCCTCAGCCCCGAGAACTGGGTTCCCCAGACCGCATTCCGTCCCTTCGGCCTCGCTTCTGTGGGCCTTCTCCAGGCACGGAAGGTCCTTCGCCCTCTGTCTCCCCGGAAACCCTTCCATTTATTCTCCTAGTGTCCTGGGTTCAAATAGTGCTGTGTCCAGGAAGCTTCCTGGCAACGTACCTAGGCAAGAGGTGGGCGCCCTTCCCCTCCCTCCCCTCTCCTCCATCCTTCCCTTCTCTTCACTCTTTTTCCGTTTTGGTTTCCCTCCAGTGTTATGATCACGCTGACTAATAACTGCAGTGGCCCTTCATACGGTGAGTCCTCCCTTTCAGAATGTGGGTTAAAGGGCGAAACCTGCGTGCTCTTCATCGCCGGTTCTTCTAAATAGGAAACAGTGGTCAGCGAGGAACAGGTCTGCAGAATGGATGGGTGGGGGCGGGTGCCGGGGGCAGCCTCCAGCAGCAGGTCCCTCAAGTTGAGACCAGCTTTAGAATGAAAGACACTCAATTATCTGTCTTTTATTTTGTTCTTTAAATTACTTACACTTTGGGTCTCTCACAGAAGTTGTGCGATGTTTAAGCCTGCGTGTGTCTGATTTCCTTCACTTAATACTACAACACTAGGAAACAGAGAGCTGTTTTGCAGCAGCCAAGGGGAAGGGCACCGAGAGGTGGGGTGGGAAGGGGTGAGAAGCCTGGAGTGTGCTCTGTGCCGCTGCAAACTATGTGCTGCAAACATGTACTAACAAACATTTTTTTAAAAATTAAAAGTGAAAATAAAAGAGCAAAAGGCTTTCCACCATCCCGCTCACACTCTGCAACAGCTTCAGCACTGCTGCAGCTGGAGACTCGTGGCAGCGCCGTCACACTGCCGACTGAAACTCACTTTGTCAACTAGAAAATGAGTCTTTCACTGGACCACTGAGTAATGCTCAGGTCCTCGCAACTGCACAGACTTGCTTCGAGAGGCCTCTGGACACAGCAGCCCATGGGCAGAACCACCCCACGAAGCCCCACAGCCCTCCTAGCATGCGGCTGCACTGCCTGGTGCTCTCTCCCTGCAACCAAGTCACAGCGGTGCGAGGCCGGTACCAGGTAACACAGCAGTAGGAGGTGTTCACTCCTGCAGCGGCTGAAGCCCGCTGACCACTGTCCCACAGCTGCTGACCTCCTGGTGTCCTTGTGGCCTGAACACTCGCTAGGCCTCTGCAGTGGTCAGCACCAGACAGCATTGTGCTCTGCCCGCCACTAGGAGCGGCCAGACTCAGATGCTACCACACAGCAAGCAGCACATGTCCTCAGCTCTGTCTCTGCCACATCTCAGGAGGGGTCCAGTCCCAGAGGCCACTGTGCAGCACCCTCCACATCTCCACAGACAGACACTTCCGCACCGCAGCCCCCTCCCCACCCACTGTGCTCCGGGAAGGGTGCTCACTTTACACATCTGCAACTCCTGCTAGGTGGAAGCTGCTTTTTTTCTTTTGTCAGAAGAAAAAACAGGGGGGATCAACCCCAGGCAAGCACTCTACCACTGAGTTACATCCCCAGCCCTTTTTATTTTACACTGAGCCAGGATCTTGCTCAGCTGCCCAGGCTGGCCTCAGACTTGTGATTCTCCTGCCTCAGCCTCCCGTGTAGCGGGGATTACAGGTGTGTGCCAGTTGCTCTCTTGTGAACGTGACATAACTGAAAAGATTCCCTAACTCTGATTCAGCTCATCAAAGGGCCTCTTCAAACACATTCTATGAGTGATGGAGAGGTTTTGATTAATGAAAATTAATCTAAAGACATTTAGGGTTGATTCCTGTGCACACATATTCTCTCATCTCGTGATCCTGAGAGTAGAAATGCACAAAAGTGCTGCTTAAAGTGGCAAAACAGGCATAAACTGTCACTCGAATCCTGAATTTGCAGCATCTTATTTGGAGTTTGTGACAGAGCCACGTGAGAGGCGAGAGGCTCTTACGAAGCACCCAGCATACTGTTTGATCTCACACAGAGCACGGTGCCACGCACGGGCCACCTACCGACAGGATGTTCTTCATGGTGATGACGAAGACGTTGTAGGCGATCAGCCAGTCCCAGTAGCGCAGGATGCTCCTGATGGGCTTCAGCAGCAGGTCACCCCCGAAGAGCAGGAAGTAGAAGCAGGCCACTAGGTAGCCCATGCAGAAAATGCTGATCCTGGTGGTGCCCGTGATGAAGATGATGGTGAGGACAAACCAGAAGAGGTAGCTGAAGATGACCACCTTGGACATGTCCAGGTAGGACCTAGAGAAGAAGCACAACCACAAAACACCACCAGGAGTTTCTCCTTTGAGAATGGGAGGGAGAATTCTCACCCTGCACTGCACTTTCTATGAAAGCACTTGGCAGCGGTGCACACGAGCCCTGCATTCACCTCTGACTCACACAGTTGGGTCTGCAGGCCATGCGTGGGGGAAACAAGCCAGGCACCCGCTCAGGGTGACCTAAGGCAGCCCAGCTTCGCACCAAGAGCAGCGTGCTCTGCCTACTTGAGAACTCAAAATTCCTCTTTAAAATTTCTTTATTTTTTTCTAACGGTCTTATTAAGATATAATTTACAAACCATAAAGTCCACCCTTTCAAAATGTATAATGCGGACCGGGGATTTAGCTCAGCAGTTCCATCACCTGCCTCGCAAGTGCAAGGTCCTGAGTTCGATCCCCAGTACCAAAAAAAAAAAAAAAGTCAAAATGTACAATGCAGTGGATTTTACTCTGTTCACAAGGTAGGGCAACATTTTCACCATCCCATTTTGAATGTTTTTATCATCTCAAAAAGAAACTTCATCCTTGTTAGTGGTCACCCCATTCTCCCTCCCCTCAGGCCCTGGCAAACCCTAATTTACTTTCTTTTTTAAATTTTAATGTAATACAAGTAGACGTTAATAAAGATAATATTAAGAGGCACTCTTCTTACTTCAATGAAAAAATAAAACAAAATCTTGTAACAAATAAGTAGAGAATAATAATGGTCAATACATGGACAAAAAGACTCTTACAAAAAAGTAACAAATAGATAATAGCACAAAATGTGCTCGCTTCGGCAGCACATATACTAAAATTGGAAGGATAATAGCACAAAACTTTCTTTTCAATGAAGAGAACTTTATAGTATGAATGAAACAGATTAGCATATATACTAAAGTGTTTTGAAATAATGGATGAGATAACTTGGGGAATTATTTGGGCTTCTCCATACTTCCTATTTGTCTATCTACTATTTTGATATACATATACACAGTGTCATATATATATATATATATATATATATATGTATATATACACACACACATATATGCACATACCCTGAGCTTCTCATATGAGAGAAACCTTGTGATATGTAAGCCGTGTGTCTGACTTATTTCACTTAACATTATGTTCTCAAGTTGCATCCTTCTGCCCACAAGTGCCTCAAGTGTATCATTCTTTATGGCATAGTAGTATTCCACTGTGCATACATACCATATTTTCTTTATCCATTCATCTGTTGAGGGACATATAGGCTGTTTCCAAGATTTAGTTATTACAAATTGTGCTGCTATAAACCTGGGAAAGCACATATCACTGTAATACGATGACTTTAACTCTTTTGGGAAGATACCTACAAGGGGGACAGATGGGTCAAGTGGAATTCCTAGTTTTAGTTTTTTGAGGAATCTCCACACTGATTTCTATAGTGGCTGTACTAGTTTACACACCCGCCAACAATATAGTAGAGTTCCTCTTTCCCCGTAGCCTCACCAGCATTTGTTATTACATTTTTTATCCTATCTATTCTTTCTGGGGTAAGATGGAATCTCAGTGTTGTTTTAATTTGCATTTCTCTAGTGGGCAACATGTTGAACATTTTCTTCATGTATTTCTTGGCCATTTTTGCTTCTTCTGAGAAGTGTCTATTCATTTCAGTTTTCCATTCCTTGACTGGCTCTTTTATTTTGGGAATTCCAATTTTTGGAGTTCTTTCTATATTCTAGATGTTAGTCCTGTTAGAAGAACAGCTGATAAACATTTTTCCAATCCTGTAGATTGTCTCTTCACCCTGTTGTTTCCTTTGTTGTACAGAAACTTTTTAATTTGATATAATCCATTTGGTGATTCTTGGAATTATTTGTGCCATTGGAGTTCTGTCCAGAAAGTCCTTGCCTGCGTCTATGTCTTTAAGAGTTTACCTCTTTTATCTTACAGATTAAGTGTTTCTGTTTTAACACTTAGATCCTTGATCCATTTTGATTTTAGTTTGGTGCTTGGTGAGATACATGAGTCTAGACTCAGTCTTCTGCATGTGGATAGCCAGTATTCCCAGCACCATTTTTTAGAGAGGCTGTCTTTCCTCCAGTGTGTGTTTTTGGCCCCTTTGGCTGTATGTTCCTGGGATTGTTTCTGCATCATCTGTTCTGTTCCATTGATCCAAACGCCTGTTTTTGTGTCAGTGCCATGCTGTTTTAATTATAGTAGCTTTGAAGTATAACTTCAAATCTGATATTGTGATGCCTCCTGCTTTGCTTTTGTTACCCAGGACTGGTTTTGCTATTCTGGGGTCTCTTCTGGTTCCATTTGAATTTTAGGATTGTTCTAGATCTGTGAGAAAAGCTGTTGGTATTTTGATTTGGGATTGCATTAAATCTGTATGTCAGTTTTGGAAGTATAGCTGTTTTGATTATATTGATTCTGCCTATCTAGAAACAGGGTATCCTTCCATTTTCTGATGTCCTCCCTAATTTCCTTTTTCAGAGTGATGTAATTTTCATTGTAGAGATCTTTCACTTCTTTGGTTAGGATAATTCCTAGGTATGTAATTTTTCTTGATGCTATTGTGAATGGTATTGTTTTCCTAATTTTTTAGTCAATGAGTTCATTATTAGTGTATGGGAATGCTATTGATCTTTGTGAGTTTATTTTGTATCCTGCTACATTGCTGAATTTGGTTATTAATTCTAGGAGCATTGGGTGGAGTTTTTTGCATCTGGTAGGCAAGGATCTTGGCATTTGTAAATAATGATACACGGAACTCATCCTTTCCTATTCACATCCCTTTTATTTCTTTCTCCAGCCTGACTGCTCTGGCTAATGGTTTAAGGACTATGTTGAACAGGTGATAATGGACATCCTCATCTTGTTCTTGATTTTGGAAGGAAAGCATTTAAGTTTTTTCCACATTTAATATGGTGTTGGCAGTATGTTGGTCCTAAGTGGCTTTTATCACATTGAGATAAGGTGCTTCTATACCTATTTTTTTTCCGTTTTTTTCTTTTTTCTTTTTTTTTTTTTATCATGAATGGATGTTGGATTTTGTCAAGGGCCTTTTCTTCATCTATTGAGATGATCATAGCATTTTTGTCTTTGTTCTGTTTATACGATGAATTAATTTGTTGATTTGTGTATGTTGAACCATCCTGGCATCCCTGGGATGAAGTATACTTGATCATGGTGTATGGTCTTTTTGACGATTTGTTGCATTCTGTCTACCAGTATTTTGTTGAGGATTTTTTCTTCTCTCTTCATTAGAGAGACTGGCCTATAGTTCTCTTTTTTGGTTAGATCTTTGGTTTTGGGATTGGTACTGTTTTCTTCCAAGAAAGATTTTGGCAGTACTCCTCCCTCTCAGTTTCATTAGAGAGTTTGAGGAGAATTGCTGCTAGATCTTCCCTGAAGTTCTTGTAGAATTCAGTTGTGGATCCATCAGGTCCTGGGCTTTTCATAATTGGTAGAGTTTTAAAAATTACTCCCTTAATTTCACTGCCTGTTATTGGATTCAAGATTTTTAGGTCTTCTTGGTTGTTTTGGTAATTGATATGTGTATCTAGGAATTTCTCCTTTTCTTCTGCATTTTCCAATTTTTTGGCATACAGGTATATGAAGTTGTTGCTAGTGATTTTCTGGAATTTGGCAGTGTCCATTGTGGCTTCTCATTTTTTATTTCTAGTTGCACTGATTTGTCTTTTTTTGGTAAGACTGGCTAAGGGTTTGTCTATTTTGTTTATTCTTTCAAAAAACCTCTTTGACTGCCAGGGATTTAGCTCAATGGTTCTGGTGCCTGCCGTGCAAGCGCAAGGTCCCAAGTTCGATCCTCGGTACCAAAAAAGCCAAAAACCAAAAAACCAAAAAAACCCAAAAATCAAATAACCTCTTTCATTGATTCTTTGTATTTTTTTTTAAGTTCCCATTTTATTGGTTTCTGCCTTGATCTTTATAATTTCCTTTCTTATACAAGCTCTAGGTTTGTTCTTATTTTTTCTAGGACCTAGATATGCATCATTAGGTTATTTATATGGGTTTGTTGTGTTTTATTGATGTGAGCATTCACAGCTATAAACTTCCCTAATGGGACTGCTTTTATTGTGTCCCATAAGTTCTGGTATGTTGTACTGACATTATCACTTTATTCTAGGAACTGTCTTATTTCTTCCTTAATTTCTTCTGTGCCTCACTGATTATTCAAGAGTGTGACATTTAATTCCCATTTTTTTGCATAGTTTCTACGGTTTCTTTTGCTATTGATTTCTAGTTTCATAGCACTGTGATCTGACAGTATGTATGGGATAATTTTGATTCTCTTGCATTTACTTAAGCATGCTTTATTAGCTAGGATGTGGTCTATTTTGGAAAGAAAACCCTTTGCTCTTGAAAAGAATACGTATTCTGTATTCTGGTAGAACACTGTCCATACCTATTAAGTTCATTTGTTTGAAGGCTTGGTTCAACTCTGATATTTCTTTACTGAGTTTTTGTTTAGTTGATCGGTCTATTTGTGATAGTGGGGTATTGAGGCCCCCACTCAAATTATATTGATGTTTATCTGATGTTTTATATTTAATAGTGTTTGTTCTATGAAGCTGGGTACACCATGGTTTGATGTAATATGTTTGTAACTGTTATTTCTGACTGTTGAATAGTTTCCTTAACCAATAAACATGTAAGGTCTTCTATGCCTCTTTTGATCAGCTTTAGCTCAAAGTCCACTTTGAAAATAGGATAGCTATTCCCACTTGTTTTTGGGTTCCTATTGCATGCAATATTGTTTTCCATCTTGGTCTATGAATTTCCTTTTGTGTTAAATGTTTCTTCTGTACAGCATACTGTAGGATTTTGTATCTTGATCCATTCTCCTAATCTATCTTTTGATTGGCAAATTGAGCCCATTTACATTGATAACTGATATTCCTGTCATTGTATTAGTTTCCTGTTGCTGTTTTGCTGTCTTTCCCTTCTACTTAATTGCTATCCCTACCCAATGCTTTCATTCTTTTAGACCTTTTGGCATTATCTCTTTCTAGGAATCCTTGAGAATTCTTTAGCGAGCTGATCTGGTGGTCATGAATTTCTTTAGGTGCCCTGTCCATCATGGAAATATCTTATTTTCAAAATTCCTCTTTGTCTTTCTAGGGGAGGCGCAAACGACTGCAGAGCAAAAGAAATCTTAAGATATGAAGTGAAGGAAAAAAGGTCACAATGGATTTCTTCTCTAAACTAGAAATTAATAGACATAACTAACAAAATCACATTACACGAGAAGGTTTCGCTACAGATGAGAAAACTCTCCTTAGAGATGAGACAGTGCAGATGCTACCATGGTGGGGCTGGGGGTCTTTCTGATCCTCTGCCTTGGCCTGGATGTCCCTAGCCGAGTCAAGATCCTTTTGGAGGCTGTCCCTCCCCAACAAGTCTTCTCAGCTAGACGCTGAGATTGGGGTCCAGGACTTGGTGTCTTTGCAGGAAAGCACAGCTGCCGGGGCTTCCAGAGCCTGGGCGGCCTGCATTCACTCAGCTACAGCTCCTTTGCCATGAGCGGTTTGCCTCAGCTCTTTCTCTTTCCAGGTGAGGAGCATCAGACAAACAATTTTGGATGTGTTCCTTGACTAGTGGGTTGTAGTGTTTCAGGCAGTTAGTAAGTAAGCCTGTAATAGAATACGAACTGTACTTAACCTACACAGCGCTGCTGGGGAATGATGAGTTGTTTCACACAGGTGAACTTGTGACCTTTCCTTTTGTGGAGTAACATGTTTAAAGCATTTTTATGAACTTTTCTTTTCTAGAAGCTGCTGTGTCCTTGCTTGGCTTCATAAGCAAAGGAGGAAAAGGAAAAAGTCAGGAATTCTCAGGGGCCAGGACCACTGTGGTAGCCAGGGAAGTGGCCAGGCTCACAGGTCTTCAGAGAGAGCTGTGGACTGAAGTCAGGGTGCACACACATCTGTTAGGACAGTGTGTACTCTCCAGCGCCTCCCTCCCGGCCTGTGGTCAGTTCATTTGTCCCCCAAGCCCGGTTCTCCTCCTCAGCATGTAGGTGCTTCCCTTTCAAATCCCAGTACCCGGGGCTGGTGGAGGCACAGCCCCGAGGATGACCTGTCATGCCTGGCGCCGACCCTGTGGGAGCAAACCTACTCACAGCCCCTTCCGTCACTACCAGGTATTTCTCAGTTCTACCCCATAAGGAGGAGGGGTGTCACTTTTTTGATTAACAGGTCTAAAAATTTGAAAGAAATCAATTTGTAAAATGATTCAGCTTTAAAAATGAGTGATGCATACAAGCTTTGATCTGCATTGATTTTCGGGCTTTTATGAGTACACTGTAAAGTGCTGAGCCTGTTCCCTTTGCTGTATGGAAACGGGTGCCGATGTGAGAAAAGGCAAAGTTGGAAGCCTTGTCTTAGATCAGTGTTTACAAAAAGAATCTCAAGTCTAAGCCATGTGCTGTGGTGCACACGTGTAATCCCAGCAGCCTGGGCAACTTAGTGACTTAACCCTGCCTCAAAAGAAAGAAATAAAAAGGGCTGGTTCAGTCCCCATTCCCAGGTGTGTGTGTGTGTGTGTGTGTGTGTGTGTGTGTGTGTGTATGTGTGTGTGAATCTCAAGTTTACCCAGCAAGTCATGTGGAAGAAAAGTCACTTATTGGTTTAAACGTGTTGAGCTTATGTAGCCTCAAGGTGCTAAAGTGCTTAGGGCTCCAGAGCTGGGGCTCTGCTGAGGGGCTCAGGTCCCTAATGTCCTGTCCCCTGTGCTGTCCTGGGGCTCTATAGACTCAAAGTGCCTGGAACAGCCTGGCGCCTGGATTGCACTGGGGGACGGGGCACCACTGAAGTGACAATGTGCCGTAGAGGCCCAGAACCACAGGGACAGGACAGCGGCTGCAGGAAGCTGGCCCCGGGCTCCAGGAATCACCCTCGGGGTGGAAGGTGGCAGGTGTTGTAAGGCAGGGTCTCTGGGGGCTGGGGTGGGAACTTCTTCCTGCGGACAGTGGCTCCACTGTGACCACGCCGGCAGGCTGGGTGAGGCCTCCCCGTGGGATAGCAGGGGAGGGGACAGCACCCAGCCAGCCTCAGGGACAGGCTGTTCTATCTCACAGGGTACAAGAAGTCACATCAGCTCTGTCACATGGCTTAGGCAGAGGCTGGGCGGAGCCCCTCAGGCCGCAGGAGGGGACAGAGGTGTCCCAGACACCAGGCCACCAGAGAAAGCAGAGGAATGGCAGAGCGAGAAACTGGCATGGCCAAAACTAGCACTGTCATGGGGCCACCGGGCCACCGGAAGGACAGGGCTGAAGGAGCCCACACAGGGATCACAGCAGAGGGGACACCGGGCAGAGGGCTCTGTGGATCTCCCTGCTCAGGACGTGGGCACAGGGGCACAGGACGTGGAGGAAGGATGGAGGGATGGCCCTTCTGGGCCGGACACGCTGCTGGCTGTTACCTGCAGTGAATAAAGTCAGGGACAGGGTTGTGCTGGCTGAATGAGGCCGCATCCAGGTTCATGCAGATCTCGACATTGTCACCGGCCATGATGCGCACTGCAGCCTTGTTCTCATCCTCGAAGATCTGCCGCTGCAGGGAGGCGCACAGCAGCAGCATGAAGTCATCTGCGAGAAGAGGGGAGGTCGCTCGGCCCAGCCCTCTCTTGAGCTCCATGGTAGCCCTGTGGAATTAAGGTCAGGGCCAAGCCCCACCTTCCCCAAGGGGGACAAGAGGGACCTGTGCTTGTAGCCACAAGGTGCCCCAGCACCAGGCCCCAGGGAGGGCTGGAGAGCAGCCAGGCCGTGGGCATTTGTGGGAGCAGGGCACCCTGGAGCGTGGCACAGAGCAGCCTCAGGTCCTCACCATCAGCCTGCACTACTGCTGGCGTCTTTGTTTCTAAAATTAAACCCAGATGTGTCCAGGCCGGGCAGCCTCTCCTGAGGGCCCTGCAGCACCTGCTCTCCTATCCCCTCAGGTGGGGCGGACGCACATGTCAGCCTCTCCATGCTTAGGAAGCCCAGGGAGGAAGCCAGGAGGGGACACACAGCGGGTGGAGAACACAGAGAAGCTGCCCAGGCCAAGCCCCCACTTACAGACCAGGAACACAGGGTTGGGCCTCACGATGAAGTCAGGGAAGTACAGCCACTTGATGATGTTGTCGTTGAAGTCAGCCCCCTTGAGCCTCCATGGGTAATCTGCAGGAGGCACACGGCAGTCAGTGCGCCATGCCTCCTCTGGGGAGCCTGCACAGGGCAGGGGACCGTGGATGCTCACCTCGGCAGGGTGCAGGGGGCACCCCAATGCACACCAGGTACTGCAGGGTAAGGATGCAGGCCAGGAAGCAGCAGTACTTGGGCCACACCTCGGCTATGGCTTTCCTCCGGCGGCGGTACAGGACGCCGATCAGCCAGCAGGCGTGGATCATGGCATAGAAGTCCATCCTCTGGCCGATGACATTCACTGACAGTAGGAAACAGGTCTGTGTGAGGATGACAAAGGCAAGAGAATTGGGTTTACAGGGAAGGGGCACAGTGTCCGGGGCCAGCCTGGTGGCCGAGATGGCCCCCAATGCGTCCCCTCTGGCTCTGCGGAGAGACTTCTAGGAAGACAGAAGTGTTCAGATCACTTCCAAGGGACAACTGAAAAACCACTTGGAGCCACAGTTGCAGTGTCTTCCTGCAAATTCTCCTTCTCTGAAAGGACAGGCACTGTCACCACCACACCACCATCTAGGTTAAACGGTTCCTTCAGCTGCAGACCCACTTGCAGAATGCGCGGAAAGAAAAATGGTCAATGACTTCTATTCCAACTGAGAAACTAGCACGGCAGCCGATGTCCATGGGTTAAGCCAGCACTTGCTGTGGACGAGGGGATACTGACACCCAGTCCCAGAAGATGCCGGCCGGAGCCAGCCCTCTGTGGACCCCACAGGGACAGGGACAGTCCTCACAGCCCGGCTGGCCAGAGCAGGCACTGAAGTCCCCAGGCAGGGAGCAGCAGAGCCCGAGGCGAGGACACTCACCTCCAGGCCGAACTTGTAGAAGAAGTAGTTTGTGAAGTACTTGGCACAGCTAAGCAACCCGTCATCCAGGTGGAGCCTGGTGACGTCGTGGAAGATCGTCTTCGACACGGGGGCTGTCAGCTTGTTCCGGCCTCGGTAATACTCCTGGTGCCGGTAAATGGTGACTTCAAAGGCCAGGATGGCCAACATCAGGAGATTATTCTACACGTAAGAAACAAGGAAGCACACTGTGCACACACATGCTTTACAATTTGCTAATTTTACACAATCCCCACAATCACTGTATTTAATGGTGGGTGTCTAAAGGGCTTTATAAAATCCCACTTGCATTTAGCACAATATGAAGGTCCAGTGTCGCTTTGTCTTATTTATCGTGGCGTCATCCCCAAATATCTGTTTGTTTATCCAACTGCTATTATAGCAGGAAATATTCCCAAAGACATCTACCATATGAAGAAAACTTAGAATAACAACATACTGAAACTGGGCTGCTGCATATATGTAAAAATGCCAGGTGCAGAGTGTAACCTTTTTAACTGGCTTGTCTGTGTAGTAAGATTGGGACTGCAGAATTGTCCACCAAAGAAAAACGTGAAAGATCTGAAATATCTTGTTTTCATTGTTCGTACAACTGTGTACCGTTTAAGTGCTTTTTGCAAAGATATACTTTATTTTGTTACATCTAACTGTAACGGATGCCCTTTAGTAAACAGAGAGAGACAGAATTTGGACAGCAAAACAGTCTTGTAATGCTACAGCCCTTTCTCAGAAACAATCACCGTGACCATTTGGTAAATTTTATCCAATATTTTTCTCTCTCTGTGCAGAACCTGCACAGGGTTCTGAAATCCCTTTAACTTTGTAATGTGTTCTGGGCATGGCTCAATTCTGATGGGCCTTTGGACCTTGCGCCTGTGATGCTTGTGTGCTGTTCTAACGCAGTATGGTCATATTTTACTTAGTCAAGCTCAGAGTGCGCGGCTGATTTCTCTACAGTGCATGCAATGCTGATTGTAATGTTTGGTGGCCTGTCGCACAGGTGATTCCAGCAGCCACATGAGAAGGCCAGGTTCCTAGCAGGTGGGCTGTGAGCGCTCAAGGCCAGAACCGGAGACCCCAGGCCTGGCCCAGACCTCACCCTCAGGTAGACGAGCAGGGGAGAAGACTTCCTCAGGCCCACCCACTCCGTGGGGTCGATGGGGGCGCTGTAGAGCAGGGACTTGTTCAGCTCCTTGAGAGGTATGTTGGTTTGGTTTTCATTTGGCTGAAAAGAAGAGCAAACGGAGTAAAAAATGGCTCCCCGGATAGTGCTGGGGCTGAAGAGTTCCCACTGTTCTTCAGCTTCCACCGAGGGCCTCAGGGGACAGGGAGGGACTCTGCACGGCCCATCTCCAGGGCCAGGGCAGCTCCAAGACGCCAGCGGGAGGGGGCGGGGAGGCGACTCAGAGCGGACAGAGCATGCGCAGCGCGCAGGCCCCGCCCACAGGACCCCAGGAGGTCCCGCCCTGGCTCACCAAGGTGCAGTTAACAGAAAAGGTGCTGGGCTTGATGGTCTGGAGCTGGTACAGCATCTTGCAGACAATGATCACACAGGTCCAGACGGTGCAGACGCTGGAAGCTAGACGGCGAAGCTTGGCGTAGGGCAGAGCGAAGGCCCAGGAAATCAGAAACACATAGTTGAACAAAGACACCTGGAAACGCAAATCAGAGCCGGGAAGGAAACACATAACAGGGCGGAAGTGCGTGGCTCAGCACTCGGTTTTCCCGTGGACGTCCTCGTGCGTGCGAGGCTTTGGTGCTGGGGACGCTGGGCGGGTGAGGTGTGGGCCTGAGGGCCCTGCGTCCCCTAGGGGGTGGGCGGGAGCGGGGAGGCGCAGGGCCGGCAGTGCACTGGTGGAGGGCACCAGCAAAGGGAGAGGGAGGCGGAGGCGGAGACAGACAGAGGCGACAGCTCGGCTCAGGGTCCACGCTGTGCCACCGCGGGCGCTTGCTCGGCGATGCCAGCTGCAGACGTGATGCTGTTAGGCAGCCACAAGTGCTCCAGAGTCTCAGCACAGGGCTGAGCTGCCCCCTACAGCCAGTGTTGCTCAGCAACGAGACCTGCTCCACATCATCCCCGGAGCGCACCTATTCTCTCCTGCCCGCTCTCGCTTTTAGCTCTCTCTTCCTCCTCCCTTTTCTTTCTCTTAGAGAATGGACCTTCTGCATCCGACCCCTCTTTTACTTGAGGCCCACTGCCCTCACTGAATTGTCTTCCTAGCTGGCATGGTGGTGACTGCCTGTGATCCCAGCACTCAGGAGGCTGAGGCAGGAGGGTCACAAGTTTGAGTTCTGGCTGGGGAACACAGTGAGGCCCGGCCTCAAAATAGAAAATAACTAAGCGTTGGGGACGCAAGTCAGTGTGATGGCCTTGTGTTCAGTCTCCACGCAGAACAAAATTGAAATGGTCTTCCCGGGCCTTCAGGGCCTGGCAGCCCAATTCCTCATGGGCAGAGATCACTGCAGTCAGATGTGGCTGCTTCAGAAACGGTGTCTGCCGTTTTCAGCCAGGCTCCTCTCCAGCTCTTTCCATTTCTCCTTACTGTTCCGACCCTCAAGTTGTATTAGAATTGATCGATTCCCTACATGGTCCAAATGCTGGAAGTCTTTCGCTCTCAGTCAACAGACCCTGGCAGTTAACTCAAAGGGGCAGCTGCTGACCAGCAGGGCGGACACCGGGTTTCTGCTGCAACTGTCACAGGGCAGAGTGCACGCTGGTCCTGCTCCTACTTAAAACCGTGGCCTGTCCATTTCAGGTGCTTCGTGTGAAGTGGGAGGAAGCTCTGGTGCAGACTGCACAGCTCAATGCAATCCCCCCACCCCGCTCTATGGTGCTGTAGTCGTAAGCTTTTACTGTTATCTAACGTTTTAATGATGACAGCCAGTGGTTCCCTGACTACTTTTTCAGGAGCAGAGATTCTGAGTTGTATCCAATTCAAATCAGCCCAGGGAAATCACGACCATGCCAGTTATTGGTTGAATAAATGAAAACAGAGCCTGCACTCCCACAGGGAAGGAGAGCTGGCCACCAGCAGAGAGATGATTCCCTTCGTAACAGACGCAGTGGGGACCACCATCCTGTCTCAGGAGATCCCCGAGTGAACAAAGTGTGGTCTGTCAAGGATCTGATCCGATTCTGAAACTTGTGTTTAGCCCTTGTCCCATAAACGGAAAGCTACTGTCCCCAAGAGGAAGCAGCAAGGTGGATCCCAACCGAGGTACAAGAAAGCAGGCCCCCAGCGGAGCCGACAACACAAAGGAGCTGAAAACCAGTGGCTCTGCAGTGTGGCCGCCCACCAGGGCCGCGCAGTCCCCTGTCCCCGCCCATGCCCTGCGCTGTCCTCTCTGTCCACCCCGCTGCATGGCAGAGCCAGGCCCCACCTTCACTTGCCTCTTTCACAGACACCCAGATGATGTAGGAGGAGACAATCTTGGTGATGTGCAGCTCCAGCATCCACCACACGAACACCTGCAGCTTGTGGAAGAACTCCAGGAACTTCAGGAAGAGCACAGTGAGCCGGTCGATCACCAAGTGCCACTTGCTCCGTAAATCTGCGAAACACAACAGAGCCCGAAGGCACACAGCTGGGTGTGTGTATCCACCCAGGCCAGCCCTGAGGCTTCCCTGGGACTCAGGCTGGGGCTGAGTGCCAGGGATGAGGTCTGCGGGCCCCAGAGGAGGGTGGCCTGGGGCCCAAGCGGTGCTGGTGACACTGGTGTCCCACAGAGACTTGAGGACAATGCCACTCAGCCCCTCTTCCGTTCAACTAGCGCAGTGGTGGCGAACCTAAGGCACCAGTGCAGCAGCGTGCTGTTGTGTCATCGAGAGCTCTGTTGCTGTGGGTTATTGTTAATGTCTGAGTTCTTTTGCTAAACTAAAATCTCAGTATTCGGGTTTAACTACAGTGTTGGCACTTTGCATAATTAAGTGAGCTCTAGGTTGCAGTTTGGGCACTTGTCTCTAAAGCCTTCGCCATCCCTGGATTAGCGTAAAGAAGAATTCGGCTGTGTTTGCGCCTATGACTGAGCCACTCTGCTCTAACTCCCTCCTCAGGTGCTGTCTTTCCCTGGCCTGGGCGCTGTCCCCATTGCTGGGCTTGGGCCTGAAGCCACGCAAGGTTCAGCGCGTGTGAAAATAGCTCACGCGCAGAAGGACCCAGGTAGCAGCAACGGAAAGGCCCAGAGTCTGCCGTGAATGCAGTGTAGACAGCACGTGCACAGGGAGTGGGGGGAAAGTGAGCGAGGCATCTGGTGAGCACCTGCGACCTGCCTCCAGGAGCCAACAGCACCCTAGCTTCGGCCCCTGGCCAGGCTCCCTCCTTGCACCCCTGCGGCACACAGTCCTCCCTGGGGTCCTCGGAGATGACTGCAAGAAGGGACAGGTGAGGGGAGCTGGCCTTCAAGAGGGAGCTCCCTTCCTGGGCTCTTATTAACTAAATGAGCGAAACAGCAAAATAAAAGGCAGACAGATGATGGACACAGGGAGACAGACCTTCCGTGGAAGGGAAGGAGACCAAGGGCCAGAGGGAGGGGCAGGGTCAGGGGCCTAGAGAGAACTGAGGAGTGTCTGCACCCACCAGCTGGGCTCCGGGAAGAAGAGCAGGAAAGAGTGTGCAGCGGGACCCCGGGGTGACAGCGTTGGCTGGGCCGTGACACCCCTGAGACGAGGGCAGGAGGACACAGCCTTCACTGCCAGGTCCAGGCACTGCAGCGTCCCCAGATGGTGTCCCCAGGCTGAGGCGGGGCTTCAGCTTCCGACACAGCTGTCTGGGGACCCTGTAGGCGCGGGCAGGGGTGGGCAGGGGCACCCTGCATGTCCAGCACTCTTCCAGCGGCCCCAGCTCTCAGCCAGACTCCCGGAGATTATGGGAGCCTTGGAAGCAGGAGCAACTGAGTGGACCAAAGGGAGGAAGCCCTGCCGTTGATCCCGGTTGTGTCCCAGCGACTGGGTCACGCAGATCCTTCTGGCTTATGGCCCATCTCACGGTTACCTGACAGCTCCTCCTCCTCCTCCAACTCCTCTTCTTCCTCCGAGTCCTCCTCTGAGTCCTCCTCTGAGTCCTTGCCGTCCTTCGAGGGCTCACCCTTCCTGCCTTCCTCCGTCTGCTCCTGTCCCTCAGGGTGCTGCTGCCCCGGCTCCGCCTGCTTGTGGACTTCAGGCTTGTCCAGGCTGGGGGTCAGGTGCATCATGGCCAGGTCGGGCAGGCTGCCCTCGGGGTGTGCCAACCTGTGGGCAGAGGGCAGCTGAGGCCCGGGCCAGGTGTGGGGAAGAGCAGCAGGGCCGTGAGGAGGAGGAGGAGGAGGAGGAGGAGGAGGAGGCGGAGGAGGAGCAGTAGACAAAGCGGAAACCCGGTGCAAGCACAGCACCCTGCAATGAGGATAGGGGGTGTCGGCGAGTTGCCGCTTTGGGTTGGTTGGTTTGTTTTAGGTTCTTTCTAAAAACAAACTGTGAGCTGAGCTTTGATTGGCTTCTCTCACCAAGGCTCCAGGGAGTCCTCGGGAATGAGAGCTGTCGGCACCCAAACTTGACATTTTTCCCGAAGGAGAAATGGTCAGAGTTTAGGATGGAGAAGCATGAAATGGTGCCGGGTTGGACAGGCATCTCATGGCTTCACGGGGGACTTACTCATTTTGGTGGATTGGGAATTTTTTCTTGATGCTGCTCAAAGTAATTGGAATAGAAAGGAAAAAAGGAGATGAGAAGAGGAATTATGAGGAAGGTCAGAGATCACACATCATGCTACACATCATCGCGACTGCATTCGGGGTGCAGAGTGCGGAGGCCTGGGGCCGCACATTCCCGGCTCAGCTGCGAGCTGGGGCCCAGGGCCCGGGCTGGCAGCGGCTGGAGAGTGCACAGGCGCAGGTGTGAGGGTGAGAACGGCCCACGGGGATGCATGCTCTCTGGGAAGCATTCGCACTTCTGTCTGCAGGAGTTGGGCATTCCCAGGCAGGTGCTCTGCAGGGAGGAAGCCGCCCACCTGCCAGGTCGGAGGGAGCAATGAGGCGAACAGTCTTAGGGGGTGAAGCCGTCTGCAGCGCAGCCTGGAGGGTGTTCGGTGTCCACTGTGGACACGGCTGTGGGGGACGGAGGGATCTGAGCTGGGGTGGGGCACGGGAGAGCTTCCACTGAGCCCACTGCGCTGGGGCCTGCGGTGTGCCTCGAGTGGACAGTCATGGTCGTGACCCTCGGCACAATTTGTTTTGAGACCAGGCCTCACTCTATTGCCCAGACTGGCCACAAAGTCCTTGGTCTCAAGTGTTCATCCTGCCTCGGCCTTCTGAGTTGCTGGGACTATCGGTATGCCCCATGATGCCTAACTTCCTACATTTTGTAAAAAGATGAAATTTTTAAATTCACATTCAAATGAATGCTTTAGAGAACACTTGCATACTTAGGAACGTCTCAGGAAAAGGTCCCGGAGCTCCAATGACCCTAAGGACCACAGTAGGTCCTTGCAGAATGACAACTGGTAATATTCTACCTGTGGACTCTGGGTCAATTATTTGCTCTTCGGAAGCTCAGTTACTTTTGGATACAACGAGTGGATTTGCAGATAAATCCTAAGCTATTTTGAATTTTCGGATTTCAGATGTGAACATGACTGAGGCTCTGGCGAAGCCCCCTCCATCCCTCAGGAGGGAGCCCCTGCTGGGGGTGCCAAGCCCACCCTCGGGTTCTGGCCCCGAGCCCAGGAGGAGCCGGGTGGCGCCACACCACTCCCTTACTCGGCTGGTCAATCTGCCCTCCCTCTCCAGGGCTCCAACGTCCTGCCCTGCCGTCCACACCAGAGCCACTCCCTGAACCCTGCTACCCCCTGGCTGTCCTGCGGTCAGGACTGGGCTTGGGGGCCAGGAGTGGACGCGGCGCACTGTTCCCTTTGGCTGTTGGAAGACACCCGCCCAGGGGACAGGAGTGTGAGCTGTGACCTTGCCGGACTGTGCGTGTCACACACATGCCCTGGGGATGGCAACTTGGAAATCATCGCTGCAGCTGTGGCTGCTGCTGATGGGTGAGGCTGCTGCCTGGGTGCGGTCCCTGCGGCTGCAGCTGCACCACACAGCGTTCCTTTGGCAACAACGGCCCCAACTGCTGTGCACATGGCGCTCAGTGAGGGAGACGACGGATGAGGCACTGGGCCACCCTGGAGGGAGCCCCGGGCAAGGAGGCCCAGACCCGCCTCTAGAAACCTGGAGTTGTCTCAGGCCGGGGACCCGGCAGAACTACAGCTCATCTACATGCTGCTCACTGGCACCAGCCTGACCTGAGACGGAAAGTGGGCTGGGACTCTCAGGCGCTCTCTGGGTCGGGGCATGGGCTTGGAATGGATGACAACAAAATAAAATGAAGACACATGGATCGGGCCGCACCCATTAGCCCAGGAGCTCATTCTGTATCTTGCCCTGCACACTCCTGAAAGTCTGTGTGTGAAATATGTGCAGATGAAGTATTTGAAGTGCACGATGGGCTTGTACAATTGTAAAAATACATCTCGTGTGCACCCTTTTATTTTTCATTCTTTCCATGGTATTTCTGGGATGCAGTGGAAAATGCTGAAAGCACGGGTTTTGGAATCAGAAATACTTGAGCTCAGGCCCCAGCTGAATAAGCCACTAGCCAAGTGGCGCTGCGAAACCACACTCTCACCCTCTAGGCCTCAGTCTGCTGACCTGCCAAATGGACCAGTCCTCCCGGACTCCTAGGAGGTTTTGAAAATTAAGGCAGTTTCCGTAAGTGCTTAGCACAGTGTTAGGTACAGAACAAAGCAAATTAAAGCAAGGAGCCCTTTTCTAAGGATTGCTTTAGCAGGCTTCGGTGACCTATATCATAAATCCATCCTAATTAAAGGCAGGTTAGACATATACTTCTACAGGGCACCACTCAGTAAGGCACATATGGGGAGACGATCAACTTAAGACTCCAGCTCCGACATCAGCACACCTGTCAGGTCACTTCCATCAGGAGACACCTAGCGGGCGCCAAACAGTGGGTGAGGCCCTGGGATTGGGGGGGGGGTCCTTGTTCAGACCCGAGGAGCTGGGCCTCTAGCAAAGGAGACGAGCAGGGGGAAGGGCAGGGAGCAGCAGGGAAAGAGGGTACAGAGGGGACACAGGGCCATGGGGACTCAGGGTGGGCGAGGTGGGGACTTTGGCAGGGTGCTGGTGCTCACGAGGGGGCGTGTGGAGGAGGCCGACCTTGAGCTGAGCTCAGTCACAGGCTCTGGGTAGAGGTGACCTCGCAAGGGAGTCACTTGGTAACTCCCCCAGGAGCCAACTCCGAGGCCAGGCTGGAACCAGAGCCGTCTCTGAGCACCTGATGAAGACCCTGGCGATCTCCACACCCAAGGCCCACGCAACTGGAGGCCACTGTCCCCCAGGGGGACACCGCTCTCACTTACAAAGCAGTGGAGAGCTTGACACGCAAGAGACAGTTGTTGACAAAGGCAGGGGAGAAAATACGGAAGTACCCACCTATTTCTTATCAGATACACGCGACCATTGACTTTGGCATGGCTGCGCAGGAGGCGGTGGGAGACAGGAGAGAAAAAGAGGACACCATTAGGCAGAGACGCAAGGCAGGCATCCTTCGGGCTTCCTGTCGCCAGGTGAGCCATCAGCCATCGCTTGGCTTGTCCATGCAGGTGATCTGCCTCGAAGAGTTGGGGGCACCAAGCATAGCCACAGCACAACTCAGACACACTCAGGGGACAGACACACACACACACACACACTCTGCACGCTCACTGTCCTTCCCAGCACACGCTTGCTCAGGGAGATGATGCTGAGACCTCTTGATATACATTCTATCAAAGAAAATACAACTGAAAGGATTTATTTTTGCTCTTTTCCCAGAATTTTAAAAAAAGGGAAAAAAATCTACTAAGTAACCACAGTCAATATATTTTCTCTAAGGTCTTAAAAAACTGAAGTTTGAAAAAGAAGTTGTTTTGTTTCTACATGAAAAGCAATATTTTCTGACATGAGTTGCAGACAGAGTACATGGATATTTAAATGGGTAAAGGGTTTTTAATAAATTATTATGAATTATACGTTATGTAATAAATATATTATTTCTACCAGTATATTATAATAGATGTTATTATCAGTGGATATGCGATCTGACATTGGCTGCGTAGAAATAACAGTAGCTGCTTCTTATGCACATTATAAAAGTTTTCCACAAAGCTAACTTCATAAATTTGGTAAGGCTAAAAACAATAAATTCTGCTTCATACACAAATTATATTTGCTTACAGGACATATGTGCGCACACAGACACACACACGCACACGGAGGTGGAGAAGACGGGAAAAGACTAGTTAGATTCCCACAAAGATAGTCCCGAAACTGAGCTAAAGAAAATGAATCCACTGCTCACAGCTGGCGTGTGTGAAGCGTGCTAGAGAAGAGCGGGCACAGGAGCAAGGTGTGACAGTTAAGCCCAGTGGTAGAGATATTTATTTTTCTTTGTTGCTTTGATTTTTATGCAGTCATTGGAAATACTGTGGTTTACTCTGGGACGAGGACACCTGTTAGTGAGGACACACTGCCACCAGCAAGAGTTGCTAACAGCTGGAATTGTACATCCCATGCCGAAGTTAAAATTTTGGGACTTCCATATGAACATGAACTTCTTGCATTAAATTCCCCAATACCCATCTTGAGTGAGTTCCTTAAATTCCCTAAGTTCCTAGGAGACCTTTTTCCAGACTTTGAAGTACAATCAATCCCATGTGCTTAAACTCATCAGGTAGCTGAGCTTTCAGCCCTCTCCCTGCTCCCTAGACTCCCTTGTAAAGTTCACCATGTGGGGAGTGCTCAGGGCCAAGCGGCCCCTCCTGTCTGTGCTCTCTTTCTGCCCTGGGGGACAGCAGAGCAGGCAGGGCTTAACCGCCATCCACCCTTGGAGCGGGCTGTGCACCCACTCGGTCCCAAACCTGTGGTTCTTTACACAGGAAAACTCTGTGAGCCAAACTGACTGTTTTCTGCAAGAGTACAGCCCCATACTTGCCTGCCCTCTCGACACACAATGATCTCTCTCTGCTTGATTGGGCCACAGAAGCCTCAGACCCACAACATAACTACCAGCAAGGAAAAGCTGTGTACGGAGGGATTTTAATAAGAGAAGGCAAGATAATAATAAGTATCATTAGCAATGATACACGTGCAAATCTGTGCTAAAAGATTTTTCTTGAATATTGAATATGACTGAAAAGTGAGGATGTATACAGTGTGTACAGTTACAGTGTCAAATACTAGTGTCATCCATAGGTATCCCAGCAACGTCAAACATTACCCAGTAATCGTTTCTGCCATTGACAGCTCCCGCTCTTCTCGTACAGGCATTGTCTCTGTAATCTTTTGAACTTGGGGTGATTTCCTCTGCTAGCAAGTTCACCTCTGAGGCCTCCATACTTCTAATCACTGCTTTGTTTTTCCTACTCTTTGGCTGCCCCTGCAGGAAGCAGGGGTAAGTACGTGGGGAGTCCGAGCACCCAGCCGTCATGGCGGTGCCCAGACGCCTCATCCCTGGTCCATCCCTCTTCCTTCTGTTCCACTGTCCTCTGAGAGTCGCTGACATGCTGGTTGTAGTCAGCGGAGGATACTGGGAATAAGAACTAAATGTAATCGCAAACAAAGCTCATAAGGAAAAGAAGTCCGCAGATCATAAATAAAGAGTGTAAACTAACTTTCACCATCAGATGAAGGTGTTTCAGAGTTATCCATAACTCCAGTTTCTACCATAACAGAACCCTGGACGTTCAGTATTCCCTAAAATGAGTATGATACAGTTCTACTTCACATTCTATTAAGGTGCTCACGGTTTCCCCAGAAGTCTGAGAATGGCAGGGAATTCCCAACCGGGACCTCACTGCTCATCTTGCTGCACCCTCTGCTCCCTGGGCTGCTCGGCACGGGTTTCCCGGGACTGACTCGGGCTCAGTGGAGGACCAGGGTAAGCATCCTTCAGAAGAGCACTTGCGATTTCCCTGAGGTGGGACGGACCTCAGGTGGGTCCAGGACTCACTGCGGTTTCTGGACACGGGCCAGCAATATCCCAGGCAGCATTGTAAACAATCTGCATTTGTTGATGAGGGAAAACAGCAGGAAGCTGCTGGAAGAAGACACTGCCTTTGCCTCCCTCCTTAACTAGCATTCTAGGCACTAGGAGATGGCAGGTTCCATCCTTCCAGCTGTTTGCACATCTTCCTCTGCTCCGCTGTCCTGTGACTTCTCTATGTACCCCGAGTTAGGAAGATGTGGTAAATGTCCTGCCGACACACAGCCAGCCTGGGTCTACACCTGCACCACCAACTCTCAGATGCCCCGGTCTGGACAGTCACTCTGAGACTCCCCGAGTCACAGCCGGATCGCATTAACCCGTCCTAAGTCACCACCCTGGTGTCGGAAAGCATCACCAAGTGCTCCACGGTGTTCCCTTTGCTTTCTCTTTCTCGCTTGTGCATTAACACCAGTAGAAAGCACAAGGCTGAAGCGCTAGGCTAGACCATCCTGTCCCTGAGCACACAGGCCCCGGGCAGGTGCCCAGGCTGGCTTCCGGGGGCCGGAGTCCCTGTCCTTCTGGCACTCACCTGTAGATGGTGCTGTCTTCCTTGCTGGGAATGGCTTTGAGGTCTGTGAGCTCCAAGAAGCGGTCGTGGAAGTAGTGCAGGTGCAAGATGCACACGAGCAGGAAGGAGGTGGGGATGAAGATGCGTGTGAACAGCTCAGCCACAGTGAACTGCTTCAGGCCCAGGTCCTCCAGCCTGGAAGAGAACAGCAAAGGCAGAGCACCTCTTAGGCCCCACGGTCCTGACTCATGCAGCCGCTGCTGCTCCTCCCTGTGGGGCCCCTCTGCCAGCCCACATCTCTGCCTTCACTGTGCTTGGGACTCTGGGCCATGCCTCCCCGACCCCCACGCAGCCTCTGGCCTCCTGGGGCAGCCTGCTGGGTGCCGCCTCCTGCTGCCCGCTGCCTCCTCCGCCCCCCCTGCAGAAGCCCCACGGGCAGGGCTCGGGCTGAGGCCCCTCCCAGCTGCACAGCCCCGGGCGCCCCTGGTCCTGGCTTCAGCTTCATGGTGCAGCACAGCACAGCCTTCACCAACCTCTGCTGGAAGCCGGGAATTCAGTTGTTTCTCACCCTGTGTTTGCGGAGGGTATTCTCACGCTCCCGTGGTGTGGCGGGCCTGGGCCAAGCCTCCTCTGTCCTGCTCTCCTGTCCACCAGTCCTCAGAGGCCCTGGCCCGGCTGTGCCCTGCCTTGGCACCTTTGCCTCTGCTCTCCTCTCTGCCTGGACCACTCTCCCACACCCAGCCCCACTGCACTCTTTCCCAGAGGGAACCTGGCTCTTCTCCACCTCCTCCAGGAAGCCTACCTGGACCACTCCTTCCAGTTCCCCACCACTCACTACCGCCACCCGCTGTTTCTTCCTAAACGGTCAGAAGCTTCCAGGAACTCAGGCACGACAGACAAATGCTCCTGTTCGCCTCCTCTGCCAGCGTGCAAGCTCCAGGGCCAGGCCTTGGGCCATCCCCCAGCTCCCCACTGTGACCCAGCCACGGGTCTGGCCCCAGAAAGCGCCCGGGACGGTCAATCAGTGAGACCTGCAGTTCTCCTGGATACATCTGTCTGCTCAGCCCCAGGTCCGATTCCGGTTGGATTTCCAGACTAAGTCCGGAAGCTCACAGAGCAAATCAGAAAGGGAAAACGCTCTGGATCCTGGAGTCCATGCTCAGCACCACAGACCCGAGGCTCTGCCTTCTACCAACAGCCTTGAGCCTGCTGTGACCCAAGAGCCGAGCTCTGGGCTGCAAGCAGGAAGCACAGCCAGCAGCCAAGCAGGTGAGTTCCCTGGACCGACCCTCGGAAAACCGTTTCATTAAAGCAGGGATGAAAATTCATGTTTCAGTCAACATCAGGAAGCTGCTGCCATGACCCCGGCCCAGGGATGGTAGAGGGGACACAGAGGGGCCTCTGATGAAGCCTGTCCCGGGGAAATTATAGACCCCGGTGACATCACAGCCCACCAACATCATCCTGAACAACGAGCGCGCATTGTTAAGCAGTCTGTCACCGCACAGCCCACACCCCACCCGGCGCCCACCGTGCGCTTACTTCTCTTTCTTCAGCCCCGTCATGTTTTGCCACAAGCTGGGGAAGTTTTCAAACTGATACGTGTAGATAAAGATGAGCACCAGCATCGTGTATATGACTACTGACATCCAAAAGTATTTCAGAATCTTCCGCCACCACTCGTAGTGGACCTGAGACACAGAGGTTGGAAAGCAGAGGAGAAAAAGAGGGTTACAGGAAGCTCAGAAAGCATTCGGTGTCTAACTAAGACAAGTGATCATCCGCAGGAGCGCTGGAAAGTAAGGTCAATCTTGTGCTTAGTTTTTAAACTCCCATTCCTAATTCAGGCCGGGGTGTGGTTAGAGCCCCGCCCTCCTGGCTGCCCGGGCAGGTCGAGGGCTGCTGTGCAGATGGTGCAGACTGAGCAGGAGAGGCACGCTCGGCCTGGGAGGCAGCCGAGGAATGGCACTGCATCGCTGTAGTCACTGCTCAGGGAAAATGCTGGCAACTTTGGGATCCAGCGTGGCACTGTGTGGTACAAACGTGAGCCACAGGGAGAGCACATCGCTCTTGGCCACGAGCTGTGGGCGCTCAGAGTCCACATACCCTGGATTTGTAAAAGTCTTTAGAAGTTCACTCATTTCCTCTGAGACCCTTTTATCCCCACCTGTAACAGACTCTGCTCTCTGTCATGCTTTGTTTTGCTGGTTATCTGCCAAAAATATTGCACTGTTGTACCAGTTTCCATCACTGGATTCCCTTCTCACGTTGGGTAAAACTGGGTTTCTGGAGAGGACAACTTGTTTCAACATAATCTTGTAGAAGTTTCAGCCAGGAACATGCTAACGCATGGTGTGGCACACACACAGATGTGTGCACATGCACGGACATGGACAAGTGGGGTTTCCTCATACCTAGCAACCCAGAGAATGCTCCACTGTTTAAGATCATCCCAGCACTGGGTTCAAAGATCTAATTCGATTATAACAATTTCTTTTTGAATCAGGAATTTTTGAGAAAGTTGCATACTTTTTCCTGATTTTTAAAGAATCTCTAATTTTTAAATGGAGAACAGGCTGATGTGTGAATCTCACACAGGGGTTCCTGGGGTGACGTCTGGCTTTCACGGGTCATCTTGGTGTTGCGTCCGTGGGCTCAGGGTAACGTGCACTCTCTGGGGAGGGAGCTCACGTGTGTTCCTGGGACAGGAGAGGACTTGGATTGGGTGCCATTCTGAGTTTCCCTACCTGGTACAAGGCCACACAGAACAGGAAGAGCACCATGTAGATGATCTTGTACATGACGATCTTGCCCTCAAAGCTGACGAAGAAGAACATGCCACCGCACACGTAGATCCAGTACTTGATGAACATGGCCACCACCAGGTTGCCCAAGACTTTCATGATGTCCTGGTCATCTCCGTCTTCCTCTGCTTCCTCCTCCTCCTCCTTTGTCTCCTGCTTCTCCTCCTTCGGCCCCTCCCCCTCTTCCTCCTCCTTCTCCTTGGGCTCTCCTTCCACTTGCACCTCTTCCAGGTCCTCATCTTCAAAACAGAAAGCAGTGCCATTATGAGGGGCATCTGAACAGAGCCACACTTGGCTTGTGGGCAGGGAGTGTCTATTCTAGGTGTCTGTATGTGACTTGGATAAATAGCACAACATGCACAGCCGATTCATAGACAATTTTCACAGCTTCCTGAAATGTAGTTTAAAAGAAAATACACTTAGTAATATTTTATACTAATCTCTTCATAACACTTTTCTCATTGCCAGTGTCTAGGATCCACGTTCTAGAAAAATAAATAGGTGACAAAAGCACAAATCAAAATAACTATGCCAATTTCAAATTCTAATTATCTCATGGCTCTAGATGATCCGAGCCTTTCCGGCCTGTTACCATGCCAACAATCCTAACCAAAAGAGTACAAATTAAATATAAAGAATAATTATAATTTAACCAAGTCTAAAGCAATTTTAGGCATAGGAATTGAAAACAGTTCCTCTTGCTTTAGAATATGCTAGCAGTCAGGACTCACGTCTGTGTCACCAAGCTACCTACATGTGCTTTGTTTATTCCAACAACCTCCCACTCCCTGAGTATGGGAGCGAAGATTAAGGGAGGAGGACAGATCAGCTGTCGCTCTCAATTAACCATGCTTCACCAAAACTAACTGATTCATCTAGTGCAAAGTCACTGCCAAGATTAAAATCCTACAGACAGACTTCTGTTGTTGAAAAGCAACTGACAGTTGGGCCTAAATGAGCAGACGTGGAACACACCCTAGTTGGGCTCTACTGATGCTCTCAGGGCTCCGGGACAGAGCCCCGGCCTGGCGCGGGAGATGCCCAGAGTGTCCATTCCACAGCAGGGCTGCCTACTGGACCACGAGGGGCCCTCGCCCACTCTGCATGTACGGCTCTCCTGCCACCTCGTGCGCTCAGGGCAGTGGGGAGCAAGCCACTCTCGTGTCGTCTGGATTGCAGGTCTAAAGCCCTCGAGGTGCTAACCGGAGCTGCTGCCCTTCCTCCCTGCCCCTTCCATTTACCTTGTGGTGTGTTATTTCAGAAAATGGAAGGATTCGAGTTAAAAGGTCTGAGTCAGTCCCCTGGCCCCAATACTCACCAGAAGTGTGTGCTGGGAGAAATCACTGAGCCCCTCTGAGCCTCACTCCTTCTGCTGGGAGTCACTTTTCCTCCCCTCGACGCTCACTGTGAATTGTCACGTGAACCCTAATAGCTGCACGTTGTAACCCTGTCCCTTCCTCCCCTGCATTCAAGTCCCTCTTCCTTCCGAGCTGAACCACAGAGGTTTTACGGCACAGTTTGGGCTCTTTATAATTTTGCAGAGGACACACAAAAAAATGTGGCCACACACTGTCCACACTAATTTACCTTTTTCTTCATTTTCCTGACTTCCTATTTTGACTTCTGACAAAAGAGCTTCCTTTTCCCGAAGAGCTTTTTGCTCCGTGAGGTGCTGCCGCAGCAGGAGCCAAAAAGTGATAGTGAAGAGAATCTGGAATGAGAGAGTGAGCAACACCAGAATTATGCACCGTGTGCAGTGTAAACTCCTCTCTGGTCTCTCCACATTGCGGTGAGACCCCAGCCCCCAAACCTTGGCACCCGAGACCGGGTCTGGGCCCACTGGGATTTTCCTGGAAGTGGCTGCTTCTCGGCCCCTTTGCTCAGGAGGCTGCACATGTTGGGCCAGGAGCATGCTTAGCAGGGTGCAGGACACAGTGACCAGAGGCCCCCACAATTGTCCTCAGCTAATCTTGTTCTTCAGGGAATGCAACAGCTGGTTTGCAAGCGGCTGCTTCTGTCTCTGGCGATAGCTTTACTGAGATATAATCCACACCCCACACAGTTAGCACCCTAAGCGTGGGACTCAGGGCTGGGCCTTAGCTCAGTGGTGCAGGGAGTGTTTCGGATGTACAGGCCCTGGGTTCAATCCCCAGCACCAAAAAGAGACAGAATGCAGTTCCATGGTTTCACTGCTGTCATAGGTTGTGCAACCATCACCATCATCAATTTGAAAATATCTTCCTCAGTCTAAAGAGGATTCCAGAGCAGTGACCTCCTTGTCTCCCTATCTTGGCTCTAATCAATCACCACAAATTTCTTGTTTGCATAGATTTGTTTAAACTAGACAATTTAAACAAATGGAATTATATAAGATATGCCACGTGTTCTTTTCCAACATTATGCCCAGCATGTTTTTAGGGTTTGTTCACATGGTGACATATACAGTTGTTCCATTTTCTTATTAAATAATATTCCAGTGAGTGAACATGAGGCTTTTATGTGTTCATTTGCCAGCTGATGGGCATATAGGTTGTGTGAGCTTCCCTGTGGCTATTGCTTCGGTGGCCGTGGTTAATGCTGCCCCGAGGATTTACATGTGACTTTTTCTGTGGACATATCTGCATTTCTCTCAGGTACGTAACCCTAAGACAAGCAGGAAGTGGTGATGGGATGATAATTGTGTTCAACATTTTGAGGAGCTGACAAACGCCAAACATTTTCGAAAACTGCTGCCCCACTTTACATTCCCACCAGCAGTGTGTAACAGTTCCAATTTCTCCTGGTCCTCAGGACATTTGTTATCTGTCCTTTCTTTTTTTTTTTTTTTTTGGTACCAGGATCGAACTTGGGATTTTGCACTTGTGAGGCAGGTGGCAGAATCACTGAGCTAAATCCCCAGCCCTGTTATCTGTCCTTTCTGATTATAGCCTGCCTGGTAGATGTGAAATGGCATCTCACTGTGGTTCCAAGCAGGCTTTTCATAAATACTCGTCAAAGAAATGAAAAAATATTTTAAAAAGCAAGTAAGTTATTTTTACTTTGTATAACTACCTACTTAATTATCTATAAATGTCTATTTATCATTTTCTTTCAACGTACACCAGTGTCCATTGTGTGCTGGTAACTATACCCAGGGCCTAAACAAATCAAGAACCACAGTGTGCACTTCTGAAAATCGGGGATTAAAATTCTGTAAGTCACTACAGATAGAACTACAGCTGTGAACAGGAAAGGGAATATGATGCATATTCAGAGAGGTCAGGAGGAACTAGGCCCTGTGGGATGTGTTTCCCAGGGAAGACAAATTAAAACCAGACTTTCAAAGCGGTGGGTGACACAATTTTTTTTTTTTTTTTTTTTTGGCAGAACCAGGGATGGAACTCAGGACCTTGCGCTTGCCAGGCAGGTGCGGCACCACTGAGCTACATCCCCGGCCCTGGGTGACACAATTTGATGATGCCTGGAATGAGACACCAGGGCCCAGGAATGCGCCCCAAAACTCAGTCTGGCTCAGCTGGAGGTGCGCAGGTCTGTGAGGACCATGGTCAGACTCCCCCTCTCTCATTTCCATCGCACGGACTCACTGGCACCCTGCGGACAATCTGGGCTCAGTGCCGTGTTTTTATGAACAACACCCTGCTGGAGATTTTCGAAGCCTGGAGATGTCTGTGACAGAAACTGGTACTTTTTTTGAGCTTCTGGTTGCATTAAAATATAAACGCAGAGCCTCATTTCTTAGAATCTGGTTTTTAAAATGAGTAGTAACATTTCCCTCCCAAGGAACTGCTATTTTTCGATTAGGCAGGGAGTCACATTCTCTACACTAGCTGGATGCCTTTTCCATGTCTCTGTGATACTGAGTCAGCTTGGAATGGACTTACACAGCCAAGAGGGTGAGAATTTGAATTTCTCCAAGATTCTGAATTTCTCTCATAGAGAGTGACTAGTTCACCAGTTGTGTATGTGCATTTGTTTCTGTGTTTAAGGGGAAATGATGGAAAGAAAAGTTCATCAAGGAGATGGAAAGATGAAGGAGACTTGTAAATGAGCATAAGACGTGGGATTTTCACCAGAGTACAGTTTGGGGAGAAAGCAGAGGCATGGGAGTTGGGGACGGGAGGATGGAGGGTGAATGGATTAGTGGATGGAGTCCCCACGGCCCGACACAGCACCTCTGCTGTGGGTGTTCACTGTGGGGATAACATCACCCTTCGCCTCAAAGCTCTTTAGTAAGAACTGTTGGAGGACCAGTCTTTCGCCTCCTGGTGCCCTTACGGCTGACTGCCTGGGATTCGGGCTGTCTGGTGATCTAAGTGGCTGTTCCCAGGAAAAGGTGGATTTCGTGCTGCACAGATCACTTCTTCAGAGATACTGATTTTCTTCTCTGTCTGGTAGAGAAAAAATGTCAAGGCTCAGTGGACACATGCACTGAGCGGCCTTTGCTGTTTAAGTCCTCAGTGCACATAGGGGTGTCCAGAGCCTGCCGCTCTGCCAACAAGATGGGGAGTAAGCTGGGTCACCTCACCTTCTGGAGTAGAAACTATTGAGATGGTCCACGGAAATCATGGCAACGACAAGACTATGAATGTTCTAATTACGGATGGAGGCACAGCAGCACAAGAAGAAAATGCAAGGGTCAGAAGAATTTTTGCTGCTAAAATGTTTTTAGGACATTACTGGAGAAAGCATGTTGTCAACAGTAATGACTGTAAAAGCAGTGAGCAAACAGATCTCTTTTATAAAGTGTTAATCTGTTGAAGAAAATCCTCTAGCCCCTTGCTACATTTTACACTGTATTTTTCTGTTTTACACTGTATGCTCCTATTACCGCATCTCAGTAATACTACACTATAATTTATACTAGAAATAATCTATCCTATGATTTTTCTTTAAGTAGAAAGCATTATCATTTTGAAGTAAAAGCTAAAAACGGGGTGTAATATATGTTCAGGTTCAGTGACAAGGCTTGTAAGCAGTGTAAATTAGTTCTCAGTCTTACAAATGTTCATTTTTTGCAAAGCACTGACTATTTGGAGCTTCTTTTTGTAAGGTTTTGCTTAACACGACTAATACCATTACTGTGGTTTGGTTTCATTGCTTTCTATTTACTTACCTTTGAGGCAAGTTCTCCTGGCTCTTTCTTCTCTAGAAATCCCGGGACCTTTTTAATCTCCGGAAGTTCGAAGCTCCATATGTACTGCAGCACCAGCAGCAGATTGGCGTAGATGACCATGAATGGGGAGCTGACCATGGCGTACTTCCTCCTGCTGCGGATCATCCACAGAGTGCAGGACCAGATCAGCAGCACGAATGTCAGCCAGCTGTGGTAGGTGATGCTCCAGGCCTCAGGGAGGGAGAGAAACCACCAGGGTCAGTGCGGTACGGCCTCCTCACTCTGGTAAGGTTGAAGTTTGCTGTAAAGGAAAGGTCAGGGATCCCCAAAGGAGAAAGAGGACAGAGCTGTGCGGAGTAACTGAGCCTGGCCCGTGGCAGAGGAGCAGAGAGAGGGGAAATGGGAGCTCCTGCGGATGGTGTGCCTTTCGTCTCCCTGGGACCTGCGGTGCAGTCCTCTTCCCACTAGCCCGAGTCTCTCCCCTTCCCTACTGGCTAGTCTTAAACTCAGGTGTAAGTGATTCTTCCTTTCCTTTCTCGAAACAGTCTGGAGTCATTTATGAATGATTTGTGAGTATGAGCCATCACTGAGCTGTGAAATAAAACATCTGGAGAATCACAAGGTTAAGCATACAATTCAGGCAGCTGGGCCACGCTGGCGACAGAGAGTTCCCGTGAGGAGGCTGTGGGTTAGGCTCCCTCACATCCAAACCAACAAAGGCCAGGCCCAGCCTCTGCCCAGTGAGGGTGAGCACTAAACAGCCAGCGGCTCTCTGAACAAATGGCGCATTTTCTTCCATTCCCATTAAACTTTCAAAGAATCAGACATGAACCATCAAATGGCAGCTACCAGACAGCCTATAAGTCAGGGCCATGTGCGCTGTTAGCTCCAGGAAACCTGCCATGTTTCTGTAGTCCCTGATACCATTTTGTGTATGTGAAAAGACATTTTCAAACATTTCCTAGGTATGTTTGGAGCTAACTGAAATCAATCACGTTCTTTTTTTCTTTCTTTCTTTTTTTTTTTTTTTGGTACCAGGGATCAAACTCAGGACCTTGCGCTTGCGAGGCAGGCGCTGGAACCACTGAGCTAAATCCCAGCTCAATCACGTTCTTGAAGATCATGACCAAGAGTGTACTAACGTCCAAAATGTTTTCCTGGTCTGTTTTGCTTTAGGAAGCTAGACAGGAACAAAGGTAAAGGAAGCCAGCAGAGAACAGACAAATATCTCCTCCCAGCAATTTGGAAATCTGTCCTGAAACACCACTCGCTTTTTAAGTGATGAGTTATTTAAAATCACTGGTTAAAAAACACTTATATACTGGAAATTAAAACTGCTTTTCTTGAAATGAAGTTAGTAACTGACAAATGAAATCATCCGAATTATTTTCATGAAAATATTCTTCGTTAGAAATAGTGTGTATCAAAGTTTAGGTAACATCTAATATATCACAAATTTAATGGATTTGTATGAAGTAATGTATTTAATGCACCTATTCCGGTATGAAATGCAGATATAACTTTGCCATTTTTGTGTGATCCAGGGACTATTGTCAAGCTTCTGAAGCCCCGGTGGGTTTCTTCCCACGCTGCCCATGTGTGGGAGGTTGAGGGTGGGTCCCGGGAGAAGCGGGCAACCAGGGACACTAAAAAGTGCTCTGGCTTTGTCCTGGTGCCACTTGTGGCCTAGCTGTGGGGCAGGGAGCAGAGGCTACACAACATCGCTTCCAGCATTCGGCTGCTGAGCTGTCTGAGAGCACAGCATCCTCCTGCTTCCTATTTTCAAATAAATACATAAATGATTCTAGCGGACCTGGCTCCCCACTGCTCAGGTTCTGTCTGTGAGGAGAAAGCCTCCCTCGTGGGTGCTTTCTGGAGGGCTGCTGCTGAACCTTTAATGCTGTGGCTCCAGTAAGGCAAGGTCACTGCACCAGGCCAGGGCCAGTCTTGCAAGGAGGACTGGTATTTTTACAATAGATTTTTTCCTACTAAATAAAAAAGTGCACTGAAGTGTTTTGGTTTTAGCTCTATTTCATAAGGGAAAGACCAGACTTAGCAATACGAGAGTGGGAAAATATGAAGTATCAGAATTGCATATTGCCTTTATTACAATAAGTGATTAACATTTAACAATCACAGATTTGTGGCCATTTTGGAGGAGGAACATGGAAATATCAGAAATTAATCAAAGTGCACAGAATGCATTCCATCTGAAGAATGGAAGTGGCCACCCTCAAAGGAGCACCTCGGATTTCAAGGCGCTCTGCTTCCACCTCCTCTCAGGAAAGCCAGGGGTCCTGACAGGGGCTGGTGCTGCGCCAGCAGCTTTCTCCAGGAAGCAGACGGACTGAGGGCCTGGTGCAACCAGTGCAACCGTGTTTGGGGAATTTCCGAAGAGATATAAAATATTTTCATTTTCTTATCATCAAGTTGTCCATAGGATCTCACCATTGACACAGAATTTGGAAGAATTGTTTTAAATAAGAGTTTTAGATTTCTCAAAACCGAATCAGATGTCTTGAGAAAAATTTCTTTTTAGGATGGAGAGAGAGTAGAGCTTTTTAATCTCTGCTTCTGAAGCTGAGATGTACAGGTGGGGAGGTGGAGGAGGCAGGACCTGGGCACTCATGGCCGGAAGCAGCTCATGGGCAGTGCGGTGGCAGCTGTGACACAACCAAGTCTCAGCTGTGTCTCAGACAAGACATGCTGGCCACACTCACTGTCGCAGAGAAATAAAAGCAGTGTGGCCAACCTTGAGTTCCTTCAACATCTTCTAGAAAAGCTGCCCAGTACGTCTTTGTAAGTTGGCAAAATGGGGGAGTTGGGTGTGGTGAGCAAATTTGAGAGACACGTATTAATACTTAAAAAGAGGGCAAGCAGAGTCGGAGAGGAGATGATTTTGTAGCCTACCATGCAAACACCCCATGAAAAACTAACAGGACCGACTGAGGTCTGCCAAGGCCTTAGGACGCAGGACTCGTCCTGGCTGGAGCGGGCACCCTGGGCATGCAGCCAGCCTGGCAGTAGCCCGGTACCTACCATCATGGCAATGAGGGCACAGATGTAGCTCTGTTTCATGATGAACTGGAACACGGACACCATGGCGTGGACTTTAACACTTCTCTTGTCTTCCCGGCTCCTTTCCCCTTCAGATTCTTCCTTCTCATACTCCTCATCCTCTTTCTTTTCTAGATGGACAGGTACATCACGTAACTACCATGCAGACAGCTGACATCTACCGACACATCCCAAGCAGTGCAGCTCAGGCGTGGTTTGGGCATGGCCTTTTAGTTCAGACTTCAGGAATTATTTCTAATTAATAAAACCCCTAGAATTCAAATAGAATCCGTAAGTCCTGGGTGGTCAGGTGTATGGTACCCAGCTCAGGAGAGTGCAGGAGAGGAAGTGGAAGGTTCTGGAAGAGAGCCCCAGAAGCTCAGCCTCCTGGCACTCAGGCCTGGGATGCGATGCTCTTTGTAGCCACAGACGGCTCCCCAAGAGACGAGACGGAGTGCCACCCCAGGTTCTGTTGTAAAGGACTGTGGCTTTTGCCACGGACACCTTCTGTCACCTGTCCCTAGGACTGCCAGATGCTGGATTATAACTGCCCAGTGGCTCTACCTGGGTGTCAGGAACTGAGGTCTCCCACCCGCCAGCTTCCAGCAAGACAGCAAGGGCTATAGGGCTAGAGGGTGGGTGGGGGTTTGATGCCATCTCATGAGGGACCTCAAGGTGGACCCAGCTGGTCACACCCAGGTTCCTGCCCCAGAGAAATGTGAGTCACCAGGTAAAATGTCCTCCTGTCTTTCTTGTTCAGATTAACTGGGCTGCACGTAAAGGGCCACAGCTGGGAGTGTGCTAGTACTCTGAAGAATAAGCCACAGAAAAGCCAGCGGCCACCTCTGCCACCCCACAGGGGCCCTGGGGGACCCTCAGCAGGGAAGGGGCTGCTGTGCCTCATCCCTCCAGCACCTGGACCCCAGCCTGACAGTGTCCTGTGCCTCTGCTTGCAATGCTTCTGTCTGTAGTGCTCTCTCTCTCTCTCTCTCTCTCTCTCTCTCTCTCTCTCTTTTTCTAGACAGGGTCTTACTATGCAGTTCAGGCAGGCCTTGATCCTCCTGCCTCAGCCCCCCAAGTGCTGGGATTACAGGAGTGTGTCATGACTCCCAGCTTCTTCTGTGTCTGCAGAGTCAACATCAGAGCAACTTTCCAGATTTGTTTTACTTCTGCAAGTTCAGATTACGGTGTGAATGTGCTTGGGCTGCCTTGGCAGTGGGCAAACGTCAGTGTGCTCTCATGCAGGCAGCATAAAGAGAAGGGGTCTTGGCGATGACCTGCATCCCGGGCCGGCTCCCAGCCCGGTGCCCACTGGAGGCTGCGTCTGTGGCTCTGGGCCGAGGCTCTGAGTGGCGACTGGGGAGCACCCAGACCCTGAGCTCTGCATTGGTGAGTGGGAGCCTAGAATGTCTGTGCATGGGCAGCAGAAGTGGCAAAGCAGTGGCTTCTGACACTGCTGGAGCTCACGGGTGCCACGGGAGTTGGTGTGTGTGTGTGCGTGTGTGCATGCGTGTGTGCAGGGCGGGCTGACCTCGATCCAAGCTCACTGAGAATGTGGGTGACCTGCCAGGTAGCAGGTAGTGGCACTGTCGGGGCTTGGCAGGAAGTACTGAGAAGAATTAGGAAGAACGGGATGTCAGAGCAGGCCAGGCAGGGATGATGTGGGGAGGTCTCTGAGCACGCTTCATGTGCCTGGGGTGAAGATGAGGGGCTCTCAGCTCCATTTTCCCTTTCCTCATTCACTGTCTTGAGCTGCGAGGGCTGCAGTTCCCAGGGAAGGAGCAACGGGCGAGTCAACCAGTGCTCTGCAGAGTGGAGGGGCTGGTGCTGCCCATGTCCACATTCTCCGAGCCATTCCAGACACTTCCGTTTCTAGGTCAGGGCTGCAGCTTAAAGATGCTGGTGTTTAGTTAGATTTTTGTTTCAAGAACACTGTGCAGGGCTGGGGATTTAGCTCAGTGGTTTTGCCACCTGCTGCACAAGCGCAAGGGCCCAAGTTCAATCCCCAGTACCCAAAAAAAAAAAACAAAAGAACACCGTGCAGACTGAAAACAAGTCCGTGGGTAAGAGCTCAGTCCCAGGCACCAATTTATCACCTGAAGAGCTTTCTGTCAACACAATAAAAGGAGACACAATGCAAGATTTGACCTGGCCCTCAGTACTGGGGACACCAGGGCCTCGTCAGGTCTGGGCAACTGTCCCCCACAGGGCCAGGCCTCCTGAATGGAAAAAAGGACTCATTCTTAAAACAGTCATAAATTATCCAGAAAAAGCACTGACTATTGCTGCAATATCAACAACAGAGCACCATACAGATACAGACCTAGATCTATACACACACATGAACATACACATATCCCTGTAGATTTCATGCTATTAAAAGTTTACATGTTTGAAATTTGTTTTGTTTTATTGAGACAGGGTCTTGCTGTGTAGTCCAGGGTAGCCTTGAGTAACTCATTGAGTATCCCAGGCTTGACTTGAACTTGCAGGAATACTCCTGCCTCAGCCTCTGGAGCGATAGGATTACAGTGTGCACCACCATGCCTGGCTAAAACCTTTTGTTTTCCTAAGTTTGCCCCAACTGGCCACTTACTTTGCAGATAAGAACAGGACACAAACAGCAACACACTGGTGCCACATGGAGCCAGTGCTCAGAGACACTGGGCAGGAAGGCGAGATGCCTGCTGAAAGTAATGAAGCAAACGGAGCAAACAGCCAAGGAAAGGCCAGTGGGCCAGGATCACAACTGTGGCCCCAGGGCCCGGGCTCCTCACCTGCAGACCCCTCCAAGGGCTCCCAGCGGTAGTGGGGTGTGGAGTACAGGTCGGCCTTGGCGGGGCCATTCTCCAGGGGCAGGCTTGGGTGGATGGTGTGGTAGTCCACAGGGTTGCCGTTCACCGTCACCAGCAGGCCCTGTGGCAGGGCAGGGAGAGGACAGCTGAGTACAGCTCAGGGTGTCTGTGGGCACCACCCCTCCACACCACGCACCACCCCACAGCCAGCAGCCAATGGGAAGCTGACTGCCAAGTATGCAAACGCTACTGCAAGGTGGGCCGTGTGCAGTCCCCCTCCAAACCCTGTCTGCACAGCGGCAGCAGTGCAAGAGAACCACTCGGTGTCCCCAGGAAAGGCCTGCAGAGGCAGGGCCAGTGTCCCGCCTCGCGCCGGGAGGTCCTGCAGACCTCCCTGCCCACACCAGCCCTGCCCCACACTCCCCGCGGCTCTGCAGAGGGCTCAGGTCTCTGCTGAGATGCCCCCAGGATGCATGCCCACCTCGAAGGCCGCACACCTGGGCTTCCCTCTGTCTCTGGTCTTATCACCATCAGGCTAACACATACATGTACATGCGCACACTGCACACGTGTATTCACGAGCACGCGAGGCTGCTCCTCTAAATTATGCAGTTATCAGCACAGCCACTGCACAAAATGCTTAAACAACACCCCCAGAGACAGACAAGGCTTTCTCAAGGTTTAAATAGACTTTGTGTAGTTATATGCAAGGTTACAGCATGAGTCAGCATTTGTCATAGCAATAAACCAGCTATCATTTCTGCAAGAAAATAACCGAAAAACTTATGGCAATTTTGTACATCCTTAAGTAGACTCAGAGGAGCTCACCCCATTTGTAACTTTCAAGTGACTTACGTAGGCATAAATGATAATTCTAAGGGTATACTAACATCAGATGGTTTGTAGTCGTCTTGGGTCATGGACAGAAGCTGCAAAAAGCAATGCAGGACAGCATGTTAGGAAGCGAGCCAGAAGCGCTGTGGTGCTTACCTCTACAACATTCCCTCCACACAGACTGCGCTCTCTAGCTGGAGGAGGCCAGCACGTTAACGCTGCCATGCAGAGTGTAAGCGACAGGTAACTGAGCTGTATGACACTGTTTACTGGAGCCACTTGCGTGTTTAGCTAGGTTTCATTATGACAGCAACTATGCAGCCACAGAAGTTACTATCTTTTTTAGGTGCTATCTTTTAATGGAATAAGCCACTTGGTTTTATGCTGCTAAAACCCTTAGAGAAATCTATAGAATTCTGAAAGCATTTACTTTTCAAGAAAAGTTTCTTAGTAAAAAAACAAAAAACATTGATTGTACTGAAGTTTGAAGATTATTTTAAGATTTGCATGTTAACACAACAAAATGATTACTACATGATCATGTTTATAAGTTATATTGGTGCCAAATGTTTGGGCTTTCCTCAAATAATTATTAGCACAGCAAATAGGTCTGCAACATTCTGGAGTCTGGACTCAGTTCTAAGTTCTTAGAAGCCACTGGAGGTCCTCAAGAGTCTTTGTGGATGTGGAGTCCATCTATCAGTATCTGCCATACCAGGAACTCAAACTGAGGCACTCAAAAATTAGTTACTTATGAGGTCTTTAAAAACCCATTGTATATTAACATAAATAAATTATTGAGATATCTGTATCTTCAAAGAAAACCAAATGCTGAAAAAACAGTGCCGCTGCCTATACTTGTATAGGTCTTTTAGCGTCTGGCTGGTCTGCCAGGGGAAGTTGCTCCAGTGAGTCCTGCAGAGGACCTGGCCTGGCAGGGGCACGAGGCTGGAGGAAGAGGGCATTTACGTCTCCCTGGGTTGTTACAGATAGCCTTTCCCGGGAGGCCTTGACCGCAGCTGTGGGGAGTCAGTCTGGGTCAGAGCCACAAGCTGCATGAAGCAGCACCAGGAGGGCACTGCTGAGAGATGACCGTCACTGGAACCCGAGCCACACAGTGCATATGCCCACTCCACGAACTGACATCTGCTCATCCCATGGCCTTCAGTGGGTCTCTCAGCCGGGCACCATCCTTCTGGGCAGCAGTGACCTGGCAGCATCACCTGCTGGGCTTGAAGGACCCTGTTTTGCTCTCACCGTCCCGCAGCTAAACGTGGTGTATATGGGGACATGGGGGTCGGATCCTCACTGGGACCCTTGGCAGACTTCCTGCGTGGCCTGCTGGTCACACAGGATATTAAAAAGATGTGTATGTCAAGGAAAGGATTCCAGAAAATGAACATAGCCCTCGGTGAACGATGAGACACTTGCTCACAGATGCACTGTTAGGCAACATAGATGCATCCTTCAGGTGAGATTACCCAGGCCACATGGCAGGTTCTGCCACACACCTGGGCCATGCCTTGCACAGCATGGCACTGAGCTCAGTGCTGCACACACTTGTGACACAGCAGTATCTGTGCATCTAAACATGGGGAAATACGGTCTCATGGCAACAGTGGTGCCCCTGTACAGGCCTTGGCCATGTGTGGGGCTGTGGACTGGGAGAGGCTGGGGGAGCGGGGAGAGTGGTGGCAGCCACGGCAGAATGAACCTCCTGCAGACTCTGGGGCAATATCCATTTGGGCCATAGGACACTCGTCTTAAAAGCACATTTGTTTCTGCCAGCACTGGTACCAATCCGAGTACTGAACAGGGCCGTGCTGCAACATGGCCACAGCACTGGGAGATGGGACACTTTCAGGTCATTATACTCTTGCAGGGCATCGGCCTCTACGTGGACATCATGGACCGGAACACTGTCACGTGGCGGGGCTGTGGCTCCTGCTGGCTGCTGGTTGTTCTCGAGTGACACTGGCTGTCCCGCTCCGCTGTGCTTTGTGTGCTCTCAGCTGCAAAGTGCTCAATCTACAGCCCTCTCTGCGGGGTGGACTGGGGAACAGTTGTGATCGTGAGCACCCTGTCAGGCCTCAGGGTCCCTGGAAACCCAGGGCCTCACTGGGAACACGGCGGCCAAACCCTGTCATGGTCTGCCATCTGGAGACAGGTGCTAGGACAGGCAGCAGTGCCTGCAGGACCCCAGACTCCCTGACAGCTCAGAACCTCTGCCCCCACCCACATCTGTCCCCAAGTCCAAGGGTCTGCTCCTCGATGCACTGGCATGGGGCAGCCAGGGACCTGCCAAGAGTGTAAGAGCATTTGCCTCCATGACTCGGCCACGGTCAGGGATCCACAGAGCTCTGACAGAAGGGAGTTCAAAAGGGTAAACCAACGATCCACAGCCATGTGAGTCATGTACAATGCACCATCTGCGGCTGGTCACTCAGCAGAGGACATCCATACACTGCTCCTTTGTTTGCTGTATATTTTAAATATAGAAGTTAAAAAAAAAGAAACACAGCCCATTCCTCTAGGACTGAGGGATGTCGCCAGAAAGTGCGGACATGAGCAGTGTCCTCACTGGGCTGGGCTGTGGCATCCCCCAGAAGCGCCGGGCACTGAGCCTGCTCAGCCCACCCTCCGCAACCCTGGAGCAGCCTGGGTTGACTCTGCTGTCCTAGCCCCTCTGCAAGGGTAAAACACGAGCAAAAGCAAGCGGGCGGCTACCTTCCTCTCGTCGGTCGGGTAGTGGGCCGCATACCACAAGCTCCGCCGCCGCTCCGCCGAGTGCTGGCTGGGGCTGTCACCCAGGGCGCAGTCCTCATCCTTGGCCATCTCATCTGGCACCTAGAACACACAGTCACAGCCTGGGTGGGAGGGGCCCACCTTCACCCACTGTCGCTTTTCAACCTGATGTGTCCTCCACATGGGATGCGATGGGCGCAGTCTCAGAATAACGAAAATGCTGTCTGGGGCTCAGTACAGACAGGGATGTGAAATGTTCCCCAATCCCCGAGAAGCCCCAGACCTCCTCAGTGTGCCCTCCAGGGAAATGGCCCGGCTTTGCAACATGAGCTCTGTGGCCAGCTCAGAGCTTGTGCGAGCCTGCTGACCTCAGCTCAGCACCTCCAGCCGGCTGTACGGCAGAGGCTGCATGCAGAGGGAACAGGAGCCTGGGGCTTCGAGACCTTCCCAGAAGAGGGGCCCCACAAGAAGGGCATCCACTCGTCGATGGTAGTGGGCGGGAGAGCACTGGGTGTCACTGCCCATCCCTGGGTTCTGTGTGCCAGGGAAGAATGCATACAGGACGTGCTCCTAGTTCCCAAGGGGGTGCCATCTGGGGTGTACAGCAGAGGCAGCCCTTTCCCTGCTCCTGGAGCTGGTGGTGACAGCGAGTGCTGGGCACCTCCAGGGCTGGCCCAGAGCGGACAGCAGAGACACCGGCACCCGCCCTTGTGAAAGGGCTTTGCACTGGGCAGTCCTGCCCGCCCAGTCTGACCGCGTGATCTGAGGCTGCTTAGAGTCTCGCAGGGCCAGTGTCTGAGGTGAATTGTGAGTTAATGACATTCTCAACTCATGGCAGCTTGCTGGGAGGCGAACCCACCACCAGTCAAGGAGCATCGGCAGGACGTGAACGCTCCATAGCTGCCGCTCTGTCTTTTTAAACATGTGTGATGGACCTTCGGCCCCACACCCAGTTAATGGCCAGCATTTTTCAGGAAATGTGCCAGGTCCCGTGGAGGGTGATTCGGTCAGGGTTCTGCCTCCCGACACTGTCTCACTCTCTCCTCTGCCCGGCCCCCTTACGATGTGGACCCCTTGGGTGTGGACACTGGGTCCTGCGACCAGCGCTGCTGCTACTGCCCGGGTGCCCAGCCCTGTCCCTGCCACCCCTTGCTTCCCAGACAGCTCATGGGTGCGACCACAGAATACGCCAGGGCCTGGGCGGAGAGGGAAAGCCACAGGCAGGGCCTCCTACAGCCACAGCGCCTGTATTTCCGTAATGGTAAGGAGTTACTCAGAAACAGTTCCCACCATACATTTTCATTTCTGTATACCACTTTATTTATGGACGTATACATATTCATATGCACAATGAATGATAAAATATATGGTGACTGTTTAAATTTTTAAAAACTTATTAGAGTAAAAAGTTGTTACACTGCCATTAATCTCCCTCAAAATGCCTTCTCTCTCTTGGAATACATTTGCCCCATTGTTCTTGTGACTTTCTGAAACAGTTCTGGAGTCCTTTTATTGTGAGTCTTTACAAGGTGTGATTATAAAATTAGCGTGAACGCCGCTCCTGACTACCACCCGACAGATGGTAAACACACGGCATAAATACGTGGCGCTGCGTCATCATCCACCTCGCTCAGTAGATGTGGTGCCGCGCGACTTCCAGCTCTTCCCCAAACTGAAAATGGCCGTGAAAGGGAAACGTTCTGAATAAATTTAGGACATCAAGGCAGCCAGGACAGCGCAACTACAGATATTCACAAAGAGGACTCCAGAGCTGCTGCAGAAAATGGCAAGGATGATGGGATCAGTGTATTCAAAGAAAGGGGGAGGATTTTGAGGGGAATTCAGGCAATGTGTCTTTTACTGCAGTACTCTTTAGAAATTTAAATGTTCACTGTATTTTAAAATCACACTTCCTATGTTAGTGAAGGGAGCAAACATAATGACATTTTACAGGGCTTCCCTGGCACAGTCAAATTTCCTAAGAGCTAGAGAAATGTGACAGCAGATGACAGGGACCCCTTCTGACCTCACAGAGGAGCTGGACTGTAGAAGCATCCTCCAGGCCCCCAGGAAGATGCTCTTTGCGCATCCTGCTAACTCCTGTGGGTGGCGGTGGCCCTGTACGTGACCCCAGGATGGGCCACATGTGCCACACAGGCAGAAAGACGGAAAGATGGTGGCTCTGGCAGGGCGGGACAGAGACCTGCGCCTCGCCCACCCTCAGTCATGTCCCCATCAGGTGCCATCGAGTTCTCCCAGTCTGCGTTTCCCTGAGGAAGTGTGGGTCCTGCCTGCTGTGGGCGCGGTCAGCTGGCCTTGGACAGCATCTGCTGTCTGACTGATGGGTGAGTGTGTGTCTCGAGCATGGCAGGTGGGTGTGAGGACAGGACAGAGCAAGGAGGGAAACTGCTCCAGGCCTAGGCAGGAGTGAGAAAAAGGCAACAAGAACCGCAGGCCTTGGCTCACCAGCCTCCGAGCTGCTTCTGCCATGAGTGGCGCCCCTTGCAGGTGCTGAGTGGGGCAGCTCTGGCCCAACCCAACCCTACCTGGAAGCTGAGTTCCTCACAGTCACAGGGAGACACAAGAGGGCCCAGGAGAGAGGCCACACACTTCGTTCTCCCTCAGAGGCTCAGGGCTCCTAGTGCTCCCACAGGGACAACCTTGTTCCCCCGAGGCCCCTCCCACCGTGCAGGCTGCAGGCACCAAGGTCCTCAGGCTGGAGCAGGCCTGGGAATGCCCACCACGGTGGAGAAAGGGCCGCGGGGTCCTTGCCACCTTAGCTGTTTGTCTGACATAGCTGGATTCTGATTTACACCCATGGGTAAGTTTATGATTTCAGGAAAAGGGGCCCCTGTAACCTCCTCATTTTCCTCATCTGTGAGGTAATGATCCTTGCTCTTCAAGGGGATTTAGGGATTGAAGGAGACAAAGTCTGTAAACAGCCTAGAGTATTACCCATACTTAGTAAATGCCCAGTAAAAACGAACCCTCAGCTCTCTTCCCTGCCAGCGATTCGTGGCGACCCCGAGTGGCACTCGCACAGGAAGCCTGTCCTTGCTGACCAGATTCTGCCTCCCTCACCCTTGGCAGCATCAGGCACCTAGACCGGAGCGCTGCAGCGGGGCGGCGTGGGGGCAGTCAGCAGGGGTCGCAGGGAGGCAGAAGGGACAGGCCACTCCCTGGGAGACCCAGGCTGCTCTGAGACCCTGGACCTTACGAGGGGCTCCTGGAGCCAGATTCGGATCAGTGTGGCCAGCGTGTAGTACATGACCAGCAGCAGGATGGGGTTGGCGTGGTGGTACCAGGACAGGTCTGGGTTGACGATGATCTTCCAAGTACTGGAACAGTCGGTTTGGATCACTGACTTGATACCAAACAGCCTGTGCAAAAACAAAGAAAATGGCTCAAGCTGTCTGTCAGAGGCTGCCCCGCCCTGGCCCAGGTGCAGAAGTCCAGCATGACATAATGAATGCATGCAGGCCCATGTGATGTGCATGCAATCTTCACTCTCTTAAAACATGCGTGAGTAATGTGTAAGAGTAATGCCAACATTAGAGTGATGATCTTCATACTGGCTCAAAATCCAGCTAACAAAATTCTCGCACACCTTTCAGAAGTGCACATTTTAATTGCCAATTAGCCCTACTAAAACCCTGCAATACTGAAATGCCAAGTATGTGGTAACATGTTACCAAGTCCAGCTAAATGAGCAAATATTTTGTTTCTGGCTGGACTTAGCATGAGCTAGTCAGCTAGTGTTGATATTATGGGGCAAATATTGAAATTGGACATAGTTCTGTAGTTCGGCTATGAAAGTCAAATACTAAGCAGAATTTCTGTAAGATATATTTCTGTCAAATTTCATTTATGGGCAATTTGATTTTTTCAAAGCTTTGTAATTAATCGATTACTTTGAAAGACATCTTTACATGGCTTGTTAAACTTTGAAATGGTTTATTTTTATTTATTTATTTATTTTTTAGTACTCGGGATCAAACTTGAGACCTTGTGCTTGCGAGGCAGGCACCAGAACCACTAAGCTAAATCCCCAGCCCTGAAATGGTTTATTTTTTAATGCTGCTTTCCCCTATAAATCAGAATGCTTTCGATTATATAGTGAGGAAATGTATAAAATATGGCTTATTTAGAATTCATTTTGATGTGCAGTTTAAGGCAAGATGCTACTAAATGAATAAAACTTTTACATCCTAAATGCATTCCATGCCTTTCTATTGTTTGCATCTTCTATACATGAACTTCCTTTAATTTTTCTCTCACATTCTATATTCACTTATGAGACATCAAAGATGGTATGTTTTCCTTCATAAAACCTCTCAATGTTATAACTGTTCTCTATCACAAAGCAAATGCAGTGATACCAAACAAATATCAAAGTAAGATAAAGAGAAATTTAACTTTCTTCAATTATATTAGAAAAAAACAGCATACTAGAACTTGTTTTTACTATAGGACTTTTTTCTTAAGTCCAGGAAGATTTTTTGTAGTTAGCTTCTGAAAGAAAAAAGTACAAAGTATCACACTGAATCTCATTAATATATACAGTTAATACATTAATCTTAAGCAAATTAAATATATAAAGAAAAATCCTTTAATACAAAAGATTCTACTCAGAATAGTGGAACTTTCTGACCATGTTTTTTACAGCCCTGTACTGAAGTGTAATTTCTTGCAGAATGAAAAAAGCTCTTAGATTTAAAATCGGATGGGCTTTTAGGTTAATGTAAGTGGTCGGTTCTAGTTTCCACATCCTCACACCTGGCACCTCAGCTAGAAATGATCTCATCCAGCTGCGGTTTACAAGAGCCCACTTCACCCACCAGAAATTTAATGGTAACTTTCCACAGCTGTTTGTACACTGATCTCTGCATCCCATGAGGACTTCAGGCCACCTCCACGGTCACACCTTCTCCACGGGGCCCTAACTCCTCCCGGCGCGCCTGGCACGCATCCACACGCACACTGAGGGTCAGACTGCTGTTGTGGCACCAGGTGTGAGATCTCATGCAAATGTGTGGCAGCCACAGTGCACACCCGATGTTTCCCACAAGGAGCACTCCCTAATGGAGAAAGGGCCCTGCCCACTTTCACCCGACTGAGCACGAAGGCAGATGGCGGTCCACCCTGTGGGCTCCCCTCAGTGCACTCCACCAAACACACACCCAAAAGTATCTGGGGAAACATCTGCACCTACATTTCTGCACACATTCCAACTCTTACTGGTCATTATTTGCGACAGAATGCAGCCCAGCGGTTATTTGCACAGCACTTCCATCGCAGTAGGTATTCCGAGTAACCGAGAGATTATTCAGAGCATGGGGGTCATGCCTCTACTCTGCACCTTAGACAAAGGACCTGGGTGGCCAGAGAGCGGGGATCTGCAGGGTCCTGGAACCCTGCCCCTCAGGCATGCAGGCCTGCATGTCTGTGTGTGAGCGAATCAGTCACTAGCACATTTAGTCGATGATCTTCACTCTCCCACAGCAGTGGGACCCGGGCCGTGGCGTGGTCCACCCCACTCAGTGCTCACTGGAGACAGGAAGAGGAGGCCTTTCCCTTCTCTGCATCCTGAACGTCCCTCGTCCACGTGGTAGCCCAGGCCACCTCATTCCACTGAGAGCCTGTGGGTGTTTGTTAAGTGACTGCCATTCTGGGCAGGCACTTGCGAGGGGGTCTAACAGCGCTGGGGCTGGGGCGTGAGCATCTGGACACAGAAGGACAGTTTTGGGACAATCTTACCCTAAATGCAGAAGGCCTTCCAAATCCAGCAACTACCCAAGGGAGGCTGAGGGTGAGCCTGGCAACGTGGTCCCCACGGAGACAGATGGGCCCTTAGGGCACGGCCCATCTGCTCTGCTGTCCTGGAGCATGAGCCGAGGTCCCCGAGAGAGAATGGCATCTGCAGCCCCATGACAGCCGCACCTTCTTTCTCCCAGACATGAAAGGGTGAGCTCCGGGGCTCTAGGCTTTACCCTAAAAGCCAGCCACGTGGGTCTTACTATCCTTACCCATCCTCTTCTCACCAGTTGTGACTTTTCTGGGGTTGTCATCTCAAGAATTGGGGGTGCATGTACCAGGTCGCTCCACCTAGTCCTAGGCCATGCAGACCCAAGGAGCAAGACAGGGAGGCTTCAGACTCTCTGAAATCTCCACACCACAGCCCCCAACCCCAACTGATGAGCGCAGCACCCTCGTGAGCCCTCATCTTCCAAACACTGGAGACCTTAGGGGACACTTCAGATCTAAACCAGAGCATCCTGCCTGTGGCCACCAAAAAGCTTCTGTCCGTCTCAGTGTGCAAAATGCCTTTAGTCTCTCTCTGAGAGCCACCAATGTCTTAGGCCAGGCAGGGCTTCGACTCTGATACTCAGGACTGTAGCTTCCGGTTCCAACTGCGCCCTCTGATTCCTGTCTCTCTCTCAACCTCTGTGTGTCCCTTCCATCATGATCAGCCAGGGTACCAGCTGTGGCCCAGGAGTGCAGGATTCTATTACAGCCACAGCCTGTCCTCGGAGCCCTCGTGCTCATTTATGACATGCTTTGTGCTGTGGGCATGCTTTCTTCATTCCTCACAGGTCATTACAGCAGCCGGAAACTGATGCCCGCCTCTTCCTTCCTGTGGCGTCATCCTGCCCCTTTGAGTTGCTGCTGCTCATCTGAGATGTGGGGACACCTGCCTGCTAGGCTGCAGCCACAACTGTCCTGGAGTCACATTGCCCGGCTCTGAACTGAGGCACTGAACTGAGCACGTAAGACTTAGCTACACCCGAAAGTCACCGTCCTGGTGGGAGAAGGCACTAATGGTCAGCAAAGTTCCTGCTTTTAAAAGAGAAAGGGAGTAGAAGGCGTGGTCTGGGCTGCAGACACACTGGACCTCCTAGCACCTCCGGGAGACACTGCTGTTGCTCGAAGCCCAGCAGCCATGGCTTTAGGCGGGCTTGGGCAGTACGAAGAGGGCGAGGACGAGGCCAACAGGAGCCGCTCTCGTTCCCTTAAGCACATCCCGGCCATCTACAGCTGATGTTGCTCTTGTTCTCTGCCAGCCGCATAGGAGGATCTTGAACTTTCCCCTCTGAATGGACCAATCAGCAAGTGTGGGCCGCAGACCCTGCCTCTTACTCTGAGAATCCAGGCGGCACGGCCTCCTGTGGTGGCCCTGGGCGGAGGGCCTGAGGGGCGGGCCCGCTGGGACCCCTTGGGTGTGAGCCCTTGGAAGGCCCCGGGACGCTGTCCCCAGCTCCCTCCCTGCACCCCGATAGCCTTGCCCCTCTGCACTGTGCCGTGCCCTCGACTCTCCAGGACTGTGTGCAGATGATCCCCTTTCCTTCATACACTTGGCCTCCGTCAGGTATTTTGGTACCTTGATGAAAAGCTGACCAACACGTCACGTTTATAATTAAACCATAAGGTTCCAAACCCAATAGGAACAAAACAGAAGCCAACCTGGGTGATCCCTGTCAGATCCTGCGGCAGCGCTTTGCTCGGGTTATGTACAAGATGCACTCCCTGCACTGAGGAGAAAGAGGCAGTCGGCCAAAGGACTTTGCTGAGCTGCCTTCCTCCCAGGCCCATGCACCTGCAGCTGCCTCTCGGGGCTCTGTGTGCCTCCCCGCCCTGCAGAGCCCGTCTTCGCCCCTTTCTCTCCCGCTCCAGAGCACTCACAACGTCTCGCCACACGTGGCCGATGTGACTTGGCAGGACACTGGCTCCCAGGTGCACGCGGTGGCAGATTTATGAAGGGACCACCTGCTTCAGGGTCACACCTGCTCGGTGTCTAGTAACAGGAACCTGCAGTGTGCGGGAGATGCGGAACGCTGGGACTGTGAGACTGACGCCACGCTTCAAACATGATTTAACTGTGGGGAAACACGCAGTTTCAGGGACACAGCCCAGTGGTGCTGACTCCGTCAATACTGAGCAAACAATATCCAGAATGCCTCCATGCTGCAAAGCCAAAACCCTGGGCTCACTCAACTGTTCCCCGTCTTCTCTTGCCAGTTCCTGGGAGCCACTGGTCTACTCTTCTGTCCGAATTTTCCTCCAGGGCACCCGAGAGAACTGGGATCAGAGCACGCATCTTGTGGGACTGGCTCATTGCTCTGGGCACGGCGCCCACAAGGGTGACTGTGTGACAGTGCGTGTCAGAGTTCCGTATCACCCGAGGCGTGGCTCGTGTTCCATGGTGCGCGTACCCACACTTCATTTATCCTCCATCCAACAACAGGAGCCTCCACACTTCACCCTTGTGAACAGTGCTGTGATGAACACAGGTGTAAAACATCCCTTGAAATCTTGCTTTCAACTCTTTCAGGCATATAACCCGGAGTGCAACTGCTGGATCACAGGGCAACTGTACCCTTAC